ACGTACAACCGGGGATTCGAAACCACGCCAGTCGACTCAATGACAGACTTTATGATACAGCGCGCGCACGCTAACCATTCAGCCATCCACCCCCCACAGATATATGTAAACAGGGCCTACTGACAAGAGCCACAACATAACCCACCTATCTTTGAATGATTCAAATAACCCCTGCATTTATAATACGTCACCTGAACAATTATGTCAAAGTTCATGAAATTTGCAACCACTGACACCAGCGACTCAGCATCTTCATCGACCAGCAGAAAACGCACAGGAAAACGGAAGAAAGGGCCTAGCAGGTGAAGATACTCCTACAGCAACTAGAAACACATTACGTAACAAGACAAACCAAGATTCCGAGGATCAAGTAGAATCTACTACACTGCTAACCTGTCCAGAATGTAAAGAACAAGTAAACAAAAATCACAAATCACAATGCAGTAGAGTGTGATGGTTGTAATCTATGGATCCACTGTGTATGTGGTGGTGTTACAGAAGCTCTACACCAGGTCCTGTGCGATGAAAGTATTTCCGGCCAAGTATCCTGGTAATGTCCTCGCTGTGCATTGCGCATCAAGGCAGTAAATGAGAAAGTGAAAGCACTAACTATTGCACATGAACAACTCCAACAAGAGGTTGAGGGTGTGAAGTCCAAAATCGACGGGATGGAAAAGAGTGTTACCCACAACAATAGCAAACAGATAGAAGAGGACCACCTAAAACTGAGGAAAACTAGCTCAGAGAAAGCAAGAAAGTATTACTGATAAGGAGCTGACGGAATTAAAGAGAGATCGAGCCTTCTATTGAAGATGGCTAATGTAGTGCATTTCTTTTTACCATACACAAATATTTACGCCATTATTAATCACTGTAGTGCATTAACTATTTCACCTGTCCGCGCACCTGTTCACCGTTTACAATGTTATACGTTGTGAACTTATTGAAGCAACAACCTCACTTTTGAATTTGTTTTATTACCCGAACGGGTGAAGTTGACACTTGTAATTCTTTAGGACTTTGTGACTGTAATTGTTACCATGACAACCAGACATTTTGAATGTCTCTTTGTCGTTTGACTTGTGTTTGTTTTAAATATATACCAATCTCTTGTGCCCATTGAAATAGTTTGAGTAATAAGAATTGAAAATACAGTTTGTAAAGACTGTGTTTAGTTGTTCCTGGATACACAGGCTATAAAATATTCATCATCAGAAACTAAATAATTATAACCACGATTAAAGTTTATTATTAAACTCTGTCGATTATTTCCAATTGACGCCTTTTCTATTACTCTGTATGGTAAATTACTAGACTTTTTAAAAGAGACAAATATTTATAGAAATTTTTTAATTGTATATTTCTGATTTCCATTGATTGTTTTTTAATTATATATACATATAATGTTGTGATCAGTGTTTTAAATTGATATTTACTGTGATATTTGTTTTTATTTAGGTATGAATAATCTCAATACTTTAAACATTAGGAGTTGGGTCATCTGTCCAGCTCTGAGGATTTTGTCTGGGTCTAGGTCCCACTCCCCCCCCCTCCCCGCTTCACACTGCTAAAGAGCCTCATAAACGCAAGGAAATCATTGAAATATAATTGTAATATAAAATGTTAGTCCGGAAATTATCTACTTTATGTCGAGTGGACATTAAACTCCATTTCTCTCTCGTCCCATAGATCGTGTCCGCCATCAACTGTTATTGGCCACTTTCACGTGACGCAATCAACAAAAGACTGCGAATATAAGAAACATTGTGTGTGTGCTGTAGCACCATGGACCTTCTGTCAGACGTTGAAAGCGGAACTTCTCAAACCGGTCGCGACATCCTACGTACGACCCATGCACCTTTTCTTACTACATATCTTAGTAGCCTTGTGATCATCTAGAATTTGTCTCTAGCTGTCTTTGCTTCCCCTTCACGTTGTGTATTTACTTCATACTGTTATCTTAAGACGTTTGTCTTCTCAGTAGTTATAACAATGCAACAGTTTATTTTTACATTTTATATATCATAGCCGGATACATATATGTAGATACAAGTATAGTACAATAACAGTAAAGTCAGTCTTTCAAACCCCATCCAGTCAGACTCGCTTGGCAAGTCTGCTGATAGAAATTGCTACATCTTTTCCCTTCTGGAATCACGCTGTTGTCTAGCAAATTCTCACAAGTATGATAGTTTTGTAGCTTTGGGTTTTGACGTTCAATTATCCAAATGGTCAAATATGATGTAAATAAACAAAGAGACTGGTCAATTTAGGCTAATGACGTCGAAACCCACCCTAATATGGAAAATGGAAATATACCGACGAAACTTCCCACAAGATATATGTTATCAACCGAGAATTGAATGTTTAGCACAGTATGACACTTTTTTATATAGAAATATGTCATTGATTCAATAAGTTAATTGAAGTACATACTACATATATGTGAATCTAATAACTTTTCAAAGATATTAATTAAAGATACATTCCCGCGTACAAACTGGGTGATTTAATGGTATATATGGACTAAAAACATATTCAAACTAATTAATTTGTCATAATTTTGCTTTAAATCCTTCTCAAACATTGTATTTGCGAAGGAATGCCCTGCTATACAAATTCGATCAAACCAGGTCATATTTACGTCACGCGACTTACCTCTCTTGGAAGTCAGAGGAGAATTCATTGCATACATAAGACGACGTTGTCTTTAATCGCTTACTATTTATTAGAAATATCGAATCCTAATTAGATTCTCGGATTATCCACCACCCGCGTTTTATTCCGTCAATTTCATCTCAGAAAGTGTTGTACAACTCTTCATAAAGTTCACAAACTTGTACATCAAGCACTCAATGTTCGCGTGTGACCTTTGACATCACGCGTGCAGAAATTCCTAATCGTCGGGCTGTCGATTAGGGGAACCCTTACATTTTTTCCCGTATACGCTCCATGAGTGTTTTTCGGGGAATCCAGTATTTTTCTAGTAAGACTGGATATCTCTACTTTCCATATATACCAAAATTGCTATACTTTTATTGGAAATAACCACCGATAAATACTTTTCTGGGAACCCATCTTTAATACAATATAATGCCATCATTTTTCTCTATTCCTTGTCTATAAATTTAAAAAAAAACAATGTCACAACGACAATATTTCTACAATGATCAATAGGTTTTAACACAATTTGATTTGTTTACATAGATATTTGTTTCAGCCCTAACAGTAACTACATGTGTGATATTATATTGCTTTAAAATGATTGATTTTTTGATTAAATAATAATCCTCATTAACTATTTCATCCCTGTCAGTGAATGAAGCAGTCTAGTGGAACTTTACTGCAGATCAGTTTGGTTATATCAGAGAGAGAGAGAGAGAAATCGGGTTTAAGGTCCACTCAACACTAACTAGGTCATTTTGGGACTAACAAATAGTTCAATTTTACTTCAATAATTCGCTTGTGCATATGGGTCTTTATAACAATGGGAACAAACCGGAGGACCCAGCGAAAACCCACGAGGTTGGACAGACGACCCTACTCCTTGTCACGTACAACCATGGAATTGAAACCACGCCAGTTGACTCAATGACAACCATTCGGCCATCCAACCTCCTAGTTTGGTAATATTGATGTATAAAAAACTGTATGGAGGCGTACGGGCTCGATGACAGTAAGGGGGGGGGGGTCAGAACCCGAAATGCCCCCCAAAATTTCGGGTTTACAGACAGCGGCGCCGGTCTTCCTCGAGAGGCGAAGAAGTGGACTTACCTTGTATGGAATCCCCACCCCCGCAAAGAACATTTTGGAATATTTAACGGCTGCAAACACGTTTTCCTGCTATTTCAGCCTGTGAACAAAGCAACTTCAAAGTGGTCTTATATAGCCTAATTAAGATGGCTGACTCGAATTCCAATCAATCGTTTACAGTCCACGGAGACGGGACCGTTTGGAGAAAATTTTGAAAATTTAACTGCTGCAAACGCGGTTTTCTGCTATTCCAGCCCGTTAATACGGCAACTTCAATTTGGTCCAATATAGCCTACCTGGCTGACCCGAATTCCTAAAAGCCAATCATTCGTCGCGGGGTATGGGGGCCTCACCCTCCCGGAGAAAATTTTGAAAATTTAACCACCGCAAATGCGTTTTCTGCTATTCTAGCTCGTGTAAGCAACTCCAAAAGTATCCAATGGTTTTGTAACCGAAATCCCATTCTGAATTCCAACCATCCAATCAGACTGTTGCAGCTGCATTCACAAATAATAATCAATGCCCCAAAAATGTCGCACAAAGTAGAGTGGCTCCAGACAAAATTTTTTAATCCATAGTCAAACTAGAAATGCTAGAAAAAAGTTTTCTTCGAGAGGCTTAGGAGCGGAGCTGACCTTGTAGCTGACACCCCCTCCACCCCCCCACCCCCCCCACCCCCCCGCAAGAAAATTTTGGAATATTTGACGGCCGCAAACACGTTTTACTGCTATTCTAACCCATAAAATTAGTGTTTTATTAGATTTCGGGCACTTTGAAATAAAAAATTTTTTTCACTTTACCCGGCTGCCCGAAAAGTCAGCTTGCCCCCCCCCCCACCCGCCTAGCTCGTTCTGACCAGGAAGTCTCGGGCTTGCTCCCAGTGCTGATCGATAATTAACAGCGTGATTTCTTATTGTCAGTGGTGCTTGACGGAGGGCCTGGGAACAGAGACGTGTAGTTGTTCGGATGGGACAAATAGCAAAGTTCTGTCTTTACGTTGGCATGTACGTAAAAGAATCCTTGACAGTTGAAATTCTATATAAAAGTCCGGGCAAAATGTCCATCATAACACAATGCATGGTGCATGCCCGTCTACATTAGCCCATTCGGCGCAGGACAGTAGAACGTAAAATCTCATTTCATTTTATCTGTGGGAATTCCCAGTTTTGTATTGATATAACAGACGGTAGGTTGTATTATCATATCTTTTGTTGGCCTCAGTAACTGAGTCAGTTACTATAAATAGATTGGATTTTCCAAATTGGTGTTCTAAAAAACAATATTTCCCTGTAGCCTTGCCCCTTTTCTTAGAATCACAAGCTCCTCAACATCGGTGGAAGACGGTTGTGTATTTAAGTTATAAGTTGATCTACTAGGCACATCATAATTATCAATATGTCTGATCAGGTAAGTAGAGATATCATATCAAACTGTTTGTATGAATGTATTACTTGGTTGTGTTACCCGTGTTCGTGTATGTGTTGTTTATGTAATATGTATTATTAAATGTATAATATGACTGTCTCATTGCTGTATGTACGGTGTCCTTAATAGACGTTTTGATGCAATAAGCATCTTATGTTATTAGATTAGACTATATGAGACTAGTCTACTGGTTTGGCCAGGAATATGTTTGACAGATCAGTACTGACAGTACTTGATGTATTGCTATATCCCTAAACACTATTTCACAAAGAATTCTGATTCATAGCCTAAACACTGGGAAGTAAACGAGGGTAGGGCGGGGAGCTTTAATAATTGACAAATACTTGATGCTTAGTGTCACAACCTTTCACGGGAAAGAGCACACAAAACGCCATTTTAACTCAAAAACCAGGTAACAGCAATCTGACTAGATACGACATTTTATTGCACCAAAATCCACGCTACAATCTTCCTAAAAGAGCGCGGGGGAATCCCGCTTTAATATAGTACCATAATATGACCAAACATATATCACATGATCGTGTGACAGGGGATAACCTGTCTGTTAGGCCCCACGCGTTACCTCATCTTCAATAGTAGGTTTGATCGCGCTTTAACTCCGTACATCTTATCAGGCGCTTCACGTAATACCCTACATATTTCGACACTAATTTCGATTAGTTACTGATCCAGTCTGGGAGTCTATCAGATTCCGCGATCATCGCGAATACCCAGTCTCGCGTTTTCCAGCTAAAATGTCTACCTATGATAATCGAGTTGCAAAGTTCAAGGTTTCCGTGGAGGTCGCCATGTTTGATTTGAGTGTGTGTGTGTGTCACAAACTCTGATTGGACGCTACTGTTCACGTGTCTGCGGTAAAGGGAGATAACGTACCTAAGTAAATTCGGGGGATATAGGAGGCAGACCACCATTAATTTCCCCATTGACTTCAATGTTAATTCTGGCCTCTTTGCCCACCTCCAACTTTTCCCCAAATTTTCGTTGGGCTGAATGCTTTTCACTACAGACAGAGGAACAAATGGTCATGTCTTTGCACTAAAATTTGTATGAGGTTGACCACCAAAATTTTGAGATACACAAACTTGAAGAAGCATACTAAAAACATGTAACTAGTTGCCGTACATATCGCCGTAGCTAACCTGATAACCCTCTTATCCTTCCGCCTCAAAATCATGAATATTTACCAAAACCTGGCAGAAAATGTTAATTCAAACCCTCTTCGTCCATTCTAGACCAGAAAATCAACACAAATGGGCATGCAAAAGGGGAGAAAAGAGAGAGAGAGAGAATTGCTATAAATAGACGAACTACAATTCGTGGGTACTGAGATGATGAAATTTAATGGTGGTCTGCCTCCTATATAATGGCCAAATGGCTAGTGCGTTCCCCTTGTATCATAAGGTCTGTCATTGAGTCAACTGGCGTTATTTCGATTCCCCGGTTGTACGTAAACAAGGAGTAAAGTCGCCTGTCCAAACTCGTGGGTTCTGTCCGGGTCCTCGGGGGGGGGGGGCTCCCACTGCTAATGACCCCTACGTGCAAGCCAATTATTGAAATAAAATTGAACCATGTGTTAGTCCCGAAATGAACTACTCTCTCTTTCTCATTCAACATCGACATTTCTGATAACTTAAAGATACCTTCTAGCGTACAAACTGTGTGAATTGATGATATCTTTGGACTAAAGACATATTCGAACCAATTAATCTATCAAATATTTGCTTCAAACCCCACTCAAAACATTGTATTCGCAGGGATACACCACAAGCTATTTTGGGAAGCTATGTTTGTCACCTAACTTGATTGAGGAGGTGTGGTCTATTTTTGAGAATGTATGTCATTGCTTACCGTCCATTTACCATACATATTGATTAGGCCTAAGTAAATTCTTGGATTATTTTCTGCCGTTTAATTACGGAGCCTGTTGTTATACGTTTACACCCCTCAATGTTCCCATTCGATCAAGAAATAACAACGATCATAAGTCAAGCTAGCATACAATAAGCTGGTAGACAACAGTCAGGTTGCTAGTTAGTGATATCCTAACACTTTTTTTTTTCGGGTAATCCAGTATATTTCTAGTAAGATTGGATGTCTATACTTTCCATATATAGCAAATTTGTCATACTTTTATTGGAAATAACTACCCAATAAATACTTTCGTGCGAATGTATCTCTAAACAATAATATTGATAATATACACAGAGTATAGACAAACCTTGACATTCATCAAGCTCGTGCAGTGGGCATTCCCGATATTATCGTATCAATAGCTGTACTTGAATACTCTTAGTCAGTTACTATAAATAGGCCAAGGTTGGTTTTTCCATAATGGGGTTCTCTAAACAAAATAGAGAGAGAGAGAGAGAGGGAGAGAGAGAAATGGGGTTTAACGTCCACTCTACACAAACTAGGTCATTTCGGGACTAACATATGGTTTAATTTTATTTCAATAATTCGCTTGCGCATAGGGGTCTTTAGCAGTGGGAGGAAACCGGAGGACCCGGAGAAAACCCACGAGGTTAGACAGGCGACCCTACTCCTTGTCACGTACAACCGGGGATTCGAAACCACGCCAGTTGACTCAATGACAGGTCGTATGATACAGCACGCACGTGCTGACCATTCGGCCATTCCCCCCCCCCCCCCTAAACAAAATATCTTAACTCTCAAATAGTATCAATGTCAGAATAAGTGAGTACAGATATTAAGGCACCTACTAACCATCCAAATTGGTAGTTTATAATATATTGTTAGTTGAATAGCTAGATACGAGTGTATTGGTATGTATATGTTCACACGATCATCGCATGAGAGAGAGAGAGAGAGAGGGGGGGGGGAGGGAGGGAGAGGGCTTGAGACCCGACCTTGGGAAAATACCATGATACAGGTATTATGATCTAAAGCGCACCGTTAGGGCAGGCGGTCAATGAAATATCGTATTTTACTCTCAAATTATTGAAATTTTTATCCTTTGTAATCTTATTATAAAATTGTTTTCTGTAATCTAATTTTATAATCATTAGCTATAACACAAACACTATCACCGCTGACTGATAGACTTGATAACCTGCTCTAATACGTCAGACTCGCTCCTACGTCACTCCTTTTCTGACTTGCAGTCAGAATAGCGCAGTGACGTAGGAACCAGCCTGACGTCATTTAGAGCATGTTGTCCAGTCTACGCTGACTGACTGAATTTATAATATGACGTCAACAATTGAACAATGACGTAAACAGTAACTAGTTGAAACCAGTTCAAGTTGGGGGAATTCCCGTTATTTATAATGAATTTGTTTTCTCAATATCTGTTATCAGATACTAGAATAAACTATTATAAATTATAATAAAACCAGTCTGACGAGTAGATTGTATTATTATTTCAGACACCCGAAAGCGTAATAATAAATTAGTTTATTTAAAGATACATTAGTTAAGAGTTTAATAAAGAGTTAGCCATTCTTGCTATGATAGGCCTAATTCAAAAATAGATGATAAAAAAAGAAAATTTTGAAAATTTCATTCAACTTACTTCATTCTCAGCCAAGTTATCATTGTTTGTAGTTTTGACAAGATGTGTGCACAGTGGTAACCAGGGCACTGGTATAATCGGGCCTAAGTTTCGCTTTCCCATTTTTAAATTAAATTTTTGAATGGCGAACCGTTTTAATCTAGTTATAAATCTCGAGTATCCGATGCCATCGATCAGGGTCGATTATGGTCTTGCTTTGTTAATTAATGTCTAATTAATAGTTTATATAACATTTCAGGCCTAAAGAAAGAACTGCAGTAGGCATATTTAGCTCTTGCATAATGTATGTTTAAGAAAATTCCACATAAAAATATTTTTTTGTCCTGTTTAATTATTACAATATACAATGTTTTATGTATATTATATATTATTCAGATAGTAAACATCAATAATACATACCATGTTAATGGTGATGGGGTACAAATTGGGAATGGTCAAAATGCATTACACATCAACAATCAGCTACGGGAGGAGGTGGGTGAACTGAGAGAAGAGGTGGATGAGTTAAAAGAAAGGGTCAGACAACTGGAGGCTAAATTACAGACTAATACTGATACAAACACTGAGAAACCAGAATATCAGATGGATGACGAGGAGGAGGAGGATGGGGATATGATTACTCTGGACGTCAGGTGTCTGTAAGTATAAACTACATGTTTTATAATATATATTTACCTGTATCTAGAGATAGTATAATATAATTTATATTTACCTGTATCTGTAGAGGTAGGTATTATAATATCATATATATTTACCTGTATTTACAGTGGGTATAGTAAGATGGCTATAAGTGTTAGTAGAGATAAAACTGTAAGTGATCTAGAAGCTATAATACAGGAGGAGTGGAGAAGGAAGTATGGTATAGATGGTGTTTGTTGTATTACCGGTATCTACAGTGTAAAACAGGAGGAGATCATCTACAACTATAAGATCAACAACAGAGATCGATTATTATCACATTATGGTATAGGTAATGGTGATACAGTCTACTGGTGATAGTCGTTTTGATTATAAAACAGGAAGAGTTTATCTAGATATAGTCCTGTTCAGTGAACTGATATTTACACCATCCCATCTATACGTTATCACAATGTCATATTATAAATAACTTATATTTTGTCATTTGTATTCCATTTATTGACAACCCTGGCCTTATATGTCTATTGGATTTGAGATAATCTTGGAGAACTGCACAATAAAATACAGACATAACAATAAGAACAACTCTTATATAACGAAACTTGGTTTACAAGAAAGATTCAGGGGATAAACTGACACTTATTATAAAATTATTATTGATCAAAACATTTGCATAATTAAAAGACTTAATTCTATACTGACCAAATACTTATAATCTTAGAAAAAATACAAATATTTCAGATTATCAATGCTGAACAAAAATCTTCTCGGGCCCTCTTCAACTAACGCATGGAACACATACTGATGCTTCCAAATACATATTAAATGATCTTTTATTCCAAATTTCTTGTAGTGAGCTAAAAAGACATATGTCCGAAGATCTATCTTGCAGCAACTAGCATCGATTTGAAGATTCGTATAAATTATATTTAGATGGACGCAACTGCACAGCAGATCTTTTACCAGTGACCAATGTATCACTAATCAACTAAATCGCTTCTTTTGATAAGCAGGCTCTAACCAATCACATCTTTAAAATAGTACATTGATGTAATTAGTCGTTTAAATATTTAAGTTATTCTCATTTCTGATCAATTTTTAATTGATATATTTCTGCTGTTCTCCTTTGATATAAAAAGTTTATAAAATTGATTTTCTTGGTCTGGTTTTAATTGTCTCCCATTATCTCATAATATATACGTAGTAAATATGTTTACTATAATATCTTTCATATTCCGTGTTCGGGAAAGTCGGGGTTTCCCTCCCCTGCTCGCGCAGAGCAAACTTTCTTTTTCCTACGTTCATCGAAACAGTCGAACAAACAAATGCGTGAAGCAGTGTAATATACTAAACTTACGCTGTCTGTCTAAAATTAGCTCACAACCCGCCGTGAGTGCTACTACGGCCAGTCTACGGTGGGAAGTTTAGTAAACCCGTGCGTAAGTCTTACGCGTCACTTGCGTGTGTTCGGCACCGTAGAAGATCGCAGGCTTGCCGTAAAGACTTTTGGTCCTGCGCACACAAACCTTTTACCCGGTTTCTTGCGGCTGGCCTGCGAGATATTAACCCCTACGACCCGTGCGTTGCAGAACGGGGTAGAACCTCATACAAGATAGAATACTAATTATTAGATATGGTGGCCATTCCGGGCAGAGATCTGTTATTGAAGTAGATAGGTGTCTGTGCGCAGAATGTCATGTCGCTGTTTTGGCCTCACTGCACTATAATCCTGCTATTGGGGGAGAGAGAGACAGAAATGCGGTTTAACGCCCATTCAAAACAAACTGGGTCATTTCGGGACTAACAAATGTTCAATTGTATTTTAATAATCCGCTTGCGTCTAGGGGTCTTTAGCAGTCGGAGAACCCGGAGAAACCCCACGAGGTTGGACAGGGGAAGCTACTCCTTGTCACGTACATCCGGGGAATCGAAACCACGCCAGTTGACTCAATGACAGACCTTATAATACAGCGCGCACCCTGTCATAGAGACTGTCATAGTGTTATTGTGTGGCTACCATAGTTATAATTATTGTGCAACAACCAGTCTTTTTCAGAGGGGATTACGAAAGTCTTCTAATGTAGCGGCCTAGCGAAAATTCACTGCTGATCAGTTTGTGTAACAACGTGTCGGAGATTATAATCAACGGTTAAGAAAATAGAACAACCATTGACGTTCACACGAGAACATGTTTGCAGGAAGATGTTGACTCTAATACTCTTATGTTTATATCTGTGATTGGTCGATCCCAGACTTACAGACAAATTAAAATACGTGATACAGAACATTCAACCACTGTTTACCATAACTTTATGAAACTGGACAGATTGGTCTTACAGTTAGTTCCACCATCACAGTCCACAATACCACAACTAATAACTGAAATAGAGATTGCCTTACAGTTAGTTCTACCATCACAGTCCACAATACCACAACTAATACCTGAAATATTATTAAACATGGCTTCAATACAAGCTAAGGGTATCTCCTGGGTTATACATATTTTTTTAGGGTATCTCCTGGGTTATACATATTTTCTGGGGGAAGGAAAAGTAGGATGTCAGTCTGTTAAAGATATAATACAGTGAAACATTGTTTCGATTTGTCCGCGGTGGTCGATAATTCTTGAGTATGACGTCTTGTCCATGTATTTGTTTCTGTGTAAATTATGTGTGGTGCAGTCAGTCCCCCTGCGCATGATATTAAAAACTAGGGATGGAAATCATTTATTATTAGTTTCCGGTTTCAGTAAAACTCTGACTTATGTACTGTATGTCATAGATACCTATATCGTGTTTCTGCTAAACGCACAACTGTAAAGTATGCCTGCAGAATGGTTATCTTGAAATTTCCAAAAACCTCGTGGGTTTACTCCGTGTTCTCCTGTCTCCTCCCACTGCTAAAGACCCCTACGCGCAAGCGAATTATTGAAATAAAATTAAACCATATGTTAGTCCCGAAATGACCTGGTTTGTGTCGAGGGGACGTTAAACCCAATTCTCTCTCTGTCTAGGTAAGGCGCTGGCTGGGTGGCCTGGAGGCCTTGGGTTTGCCCTCAGTGTTGTTCGGTAATTTCCGGAATTGTTTCCCATTGTTAGTGGTGCAGGACGGGGGGTCTGGCGATGAGATGCGTGTAGTCGTTCTGATGGGACAAAAAAAAAGTTCCGTCTTTACGTTGGCATGTGCGTGAAAGAATCCCTGACAGTTGAAATTTTATATAAGAGTAGACCGTAGCGCCATTGTCCGGGCAAAATGTCCCTTATATCGCACGCTGTATGGCCCATTAGCCCATTCGGTACAGGAAAATAGGACGTTAAACCCCATTTCATTTCATTTTATCTGTAGGAATTCCCAGTTTTGTACTGATATAATAGACAGTAGGTTGTATTATCATATCTTTTGTTGGCCTCAGTAACTGAGTCAGTTACTATAAATAGGTTAGATTTTCCAAATTGGTGTTCTAAAAAACAATATTTCCCTGTAGCCTCGCCCCTTTTCTTAGAATCACAAGCGGCATAACATCGGTGGAAGACGGTTGTGTATTTGGGTTAAAAGGTGATCTACCACGCTCATTATAATTATCAATATGTCTTTTCAGGTAAGTAGAGATATCATATCAAACTAACTGTATGAATGTTTGTATTACTTACTTGTGTTACCTGTGTTCGTGTATGTGTTGTCTATATAATATGTATTATTAAATGTATATGACTGTATGCTTTATGTATGCTGTCCTTAATGGACGTTTTGATGCAATATCCCTAAATATTATTTCATAATGAATTCTGATTCGTAGCCTAAACACATTTTAATAATGAATTCTGATTCATAGCCTAAACATTATTTCATAATAAATTCTGGTTCATAGCCTAAACACTGGGGAGTAAACGAGGTTTGGTGGGGAGCTTTAATAATTGGCAAATACTTGATGCTTAATTTAAAAACCTTTCACGGGAAAGAACACACAAAACTCCATCTTAACTGGACCTGTTTGCAACCCACGAACACCCTCATACACCTGGTGACAGCAATCTGGCTAAGAAAATTTTATTGCACCAAAATCCACGCTACAATCTTCCTAAAAAAGCGCGGGGGAATCCCGCTTTAATATAGTACCATAATATGACCATGAAACATATATCACATGATCGTGTGACGGGGGATAACCTGCCTGTGAGGCACCATAAGGGGGGTTCAAATAAGGAGATATTCTCCACAACATCCCACGCGTTACCTCATCTCCAATAGTAGAATTGATCTTGCTTTAACTCCGTACATCTTATCAGGCGCTTCACGTAATACCCTGCATAATTTCGATTGGTTACTGATCCAGTTTGGGGGTCTATCAGATTCCGCGATCATCGCGAATACCCATTCTCGCACTTTCTAGCTAAAATGTCTACCTATGATAATCGAGTTTCAAAGTTCAAGGTTTCCGTGGAGGTCGCCATGTTTAATTTGAGTGTGTTTGTGTCACAAACTCTGATTGGACGCTACTGTTCATGAGTCTACGGTAAAGGGAGATAACGTAGCTATAAGTTCGGTAATTGCAAAATAGTCTAGCAACGTCAAGATGTTGTAAATCTCGCGGTCGTTGCCTCAGGAACATGACGTTAACTATGTGTCGGTACTAAATGGCGTATGATTATTCAACATGGACATTTCTGATCACATAAAGATACCTCCTAGCGTACAAACTGTGTGATTTGGTGATATATTTGGACTAAAGACATATTCAAACTACCCAAAATTTGTTTCAAATCCCTCTCAAAACTTTGTATTCGCAGGGAGAAACCGCAAACTATAAAAACCCATTTTAGAAGCTATATTAGTCACCTAACTTGATTGAGGGAGGGTCCATTTTTTTAGAATGTATGTCATTGCTTACTGTCCATTTACCATACATATTGATGAGGCCTAAGTAATTTCTTGGATTATTTTCTGCCAATTTCTTTTTCTGCCGTTTAATTACAGAGTCTGTTATACGTTTACACTCCTCGGTGTTCCCAAGACCGCCTAACCATTCCATCAAGAAATAACAACCGATCCCTAAGTCAAGCTAGCAGGCAATAAGCTGGCAGACAACAGTCAGGTTGCTAGTTAGTGATGCCCTGACATTTTTTTTCGGGTAATCCAGTATTTTTCTAGTAAGATTATGCGTTTATACGTTCCATATAATGTTCCAAATTTGCCATACTTTTATTAGAAATAACCATCCGATACATTTCGTGAGAATGTATCTCTAAACATTAAAGTTACAATTTCATATTTTCTAAGAAAGTCAAAACATAATTATTTCTATGTCTTTTGCTCAATAGGTTATCAACTCACTTTTATACGATCATAGGTGTCGTTCTCACACTTAAAGCTCATTTACACCGGAAATAATAACACAATTACCTCCCAATTATCTCCCTTGTTTTCTATTCTCCACCATGGAGTAGCTATCCTCAAACGTTTGAATTTGAAGAGGAAAATGTTATTTTTGCCAATTTCTCAACTGGCAATAGTGAATTATAGGATTAATAGGATTATTCTTTAACAAGGTAGGACTGTTTATAGATACCATCTATTTTAAGGCTTTATTTTAATAAATTTTAAAAATATTACGTAAATGATATTGATAAAATACAAATGTACACAGAGTATAGACCAACCTTGACATTCAACAAGCTCATGCTTAGTCAGTTACCATAATTAGACCTATATAGGTTGATTTTTCCATAGTGGGGTTCTCTGAAAAAATATTTGTGTTTACCCTGTTGTTTATCACAGTCTCGCCCCTTTACTTAGTATCAATGTCAGATCACGTGAGTAAAAATATTAACGCACCTGTTAGAGAGAGAGATACCATGACACTTGACTCAATCACAGGTATTATGATCTAAAGCGCACCGTTAGGGCACGCGGTCAATGAAATGTCGTATTTTCTCAAATTATTGAAAGTTTTGTATTTTGTAATCTTATATTATAAAATATTTTTCTGTAATCTAATTTTAAAATCATTAGCTATAACACAAACATTATCGCCGCTGACGGACTGAATTTATAATATGACGTAATCAGTATTGAACAAGGACGTAAACAGTTACTGGTTAAAACCAGGGTCAAGTTGGGGGAATTCCCGTTATTTATAATGAATGTGTTTTCTCAATATCTGTTATCAGATATTAGAATAAACTATTATAAATTATAATAAAACCAGTCTGACGAATATATTGCGTTATTATTTCAGACACCTGTAAGCGTAATAATAAATACGTTGATTTAAGAAAATTCTAAATAAAAATATATGTTCGTCCTGTTTAATTACTACAATGTATTATATATACTATGTTTTATGTATTTATAATATATTATTCAGAGCGTAACCATCAACAATACATACCATGTAAGAAGTGATGCGGTGCAGATTGGAAATGCAATATACAATGTTTTATGTATATATTATATTATTCAGATAGTAAACATCAATGTTAGAAGTGATGCGGTACAAATTGGGAATGGTCAAAATGCCCTACACATCAACAATCAGCTACGGGAGGAGGTGGGTGAACTGAGAGAAGAGGTGAATGAGTTAAAAGTAAGGGTAAGGCAACTGGAGGCTAAAGTACAGACTAATGCTGACAGAGACACTGAGGAACCAGAATATCAGATGGATGACGAGGAGGAGGCTATGATTACTCTTGACATCGTTAGTATGTAAGTATAAACTACATGTTTTATAATATATATTTACCTGTATTTACAGTAGTATGTATAATATAGTATATATTTACCTGTATTTACAGTAGTATGTATAATATAGTATATATTTACCTGTATTTATAGTGATGGGAATTTTGAAATAATGATAAGTGTTAGCCGAGATAAAACTGTCAGTGATCTAGAAAAGATCATACAGGAGGAGTGTAGAAGGAAGTATGATGGAATTGTAACAGCTTCTAGTATTCTGTGTATCGGCAGTAGAAACAGACATGATGATATCGACAACACTCTAACATTAGCAGATTATGGTTTAGAGGATGGTGATACAGTCTACACTTTGATGTATATGTGATTGTAAAACAGGAAGAGCTCATCTAGATATAGTCTTGTTCAGTGAACTGATATTTATACTTTTGTCATTTGATTACTTTTATTGGGAACCCTAGCCTTATGTCAATTGGATTTTATATTATGCTGTAGAACTGCACAATAAAATACAGACATAACAATAAGAACAACCTTTATTCAACGATATTTAATTTATAACACTACAAAAAAGACTCGGGCGACAAACTGACAGTGACAAAACGAAACTTGGTTTATAACACTACAAGAAAGACTCAGACGACAAACTGACACTTATTATAAAATTATTATAGATCAAAACACCTGCATACTTAAAAGGCTTAATTCTATACTGACTAAATACTTTTTTAATCTTACAAACAATGGAAATAATTACAAAGGTTTATTTAGTCTTTGTGTGTATGACAGATGGGAAACGTAGTAGAGCCACATTGTAAAATAGTTTACTGCCAGAGATCTATTCTCGAGGGCAGAGATCTATTCTCGAGGTAGTTAGTTCTCTGTGTGCAAAATGATCATCTATGGCTTTCTTATAGTGAAATGAAATGAAATGGGGTTTAACGTCCTACTGTTCTGCTCCGAACTGGGCTAATGAAGACGGGGATACGCCAAACAGTATGCTATGGGGGAAATTTTGCCCGGACAGCGGCACTACGGCCTACTCTTATATCGAATTTCAACTGTCAAGGGGTCTTTTACGTGCATGCAAATGTGTACACGGGGCCTCGGTTTTTCGTCCCATCCGAACGACTAGACAGTTGTCCTGCATCACTGTCAAGGGGGGACCACGCAGGAAAATCTGGGTGTTAACTTTCTCGGCCAATGCAGGGATCGAACACCCTACCTCCAAGCTAGCGAGCCAGCGTCTTACCCACTTAGCCACCGTGACCCCCTTTCTTATAGTGACTTAAACAGCCATACCTCCAAAGATCAATCTTGTAACACTATCTTAGTGATAACAGCGATCAGTTTAGTAAATATATCATTGATTTACAGCAGGTATATAAAACAGCTGCATACATACGACAACAATACAGGTACTTAAACTAATATACAGGAACTAGACTATATGTATATGTAGTTTGTAAATGACATATGGGATTAATTACATGTTTAATTAGATCATCGCCAGTCCGTATCTTAACCGAAGTTTATACAGAGTTGAAAAGTCAGTATCATATGTTATCAAAACAAAAATCAGCTGAGATCATACAGTTCTAAGCATTTAAATGGCCGTTCAATTTGATGAAAGTTATAGAGTACTTTGTTACAATCTTGCATCTGAATACGTCGATTTGAAGATCAGGAACAATTTCTCCGTTCGTGCCCTTTACAAGTTACGACTGCGGCATCAATCAATACAAACGTTTCTATTGATAAACAGGCTTCAACCATTCAGATCTTTAAAATAGTATATGAATACTTTGAGGTCAAGAATCGATTCAATATTTAAGTCATACTTTTTTCTGATCAATTGTTAATTAATTTCTTTTCTCTTTTGTATATAAAGTTTGTACAACAATTTATGTGATTTGAGTTGTTTCCCATTATTTCATAATATGTACATAGCAAATTTGTTTATTAATATCTCTATATTCCTTGTATAAGAGAGGGAGGGGGGCAGGCTCGTCCAGGAGGGGTGGTGGGTCACGTACCTACACTGCTCGCGCAGAGCATAACATATTCTTATTAACGTCGACAAATCGTGTGAAGAATTGCCGCGGTTTTGGTCTCACCCCACTCTAATACTATACGTGCTAAATGAACAGAAATATTGTCTCAGACCTTCTGATTTATAATATTCTCGGGTAATTCCCCAGAACTAACCACAAACTTAACACTACATTCACGTTGGACCCCAATGCTTAAATTCCTGAACACGCTCAGTAGCGGATAAAAGCTGTGAATGGAGGGGGCGGCTCCAGATCTGGCGCGCCATCCACAATCCCACCATACAATGGATGACAACAAAATATACTGGGTGCTCCTATAGAATGAATATTAATCGTGTTGCATATAGTATACATGTAGTTGTTTGCCGATCGTTATTTCGCTCCCATTATCATTATGATTGGGGTAGCAAGGATGTTAGGGTGGGGGGGGGGGAAATACAATGTGCTCTGAGGGAAATTTTGCCGAGTAACGGCACTATGGCCTGCTCGTACATGTATGTATCGAATTCCAACAATCAATGGATCTTTTACGTGCACGCCAGTGTATACACGGGACTTCGGTTTATCGTCCCATCCGAACGGCCCTCTGTCCTGCACCACTGACAAGGAAAACCACGTCGGAAAATCCCGATGAAATTTCTCGGCCAATGCAGCGATCGAACACGCTACCCCCAGGCTAGCGATTCTGAGTCTTACTCACTAAGTCACCATGGCTCCGTATCGTATTTGAAAGAAAATTACAGAATGTTCATCGGGATTTTCCAAAGCAGTTATCCCATGTCAGTGTTGCAGGAGAAAAGGCCTGGCAAGTGACAACTTGCATTGTGGACGTTACCCCCCCCCCCCTCTCTCTCTCTCTCTCTCTCTCTCTCTCTCTCTCAATCACTCTGCATGTATTATAGGCCTATAAACGTCACACGCATATTCAAACATTAGGAGTTTTCGCTTGCGCCACTGTCACCAACCCGACAACATTGCTTGAATATATGAAAAGACTATAAGTAGGTCCAAAACTATTTTAAATGTAATAGGCCTATGTATAACATGTACCAAAATGCACTTCTTGGAAAAATCACTACAAAAGGAAAGGTTCAATTTTATTTAGGTTGGTTCTACACGACTTTTGTTTGTTCCCCCCTCCTCCTCCTACCCCCACCGCCACCATAACACTCCTGGTTTTAAAAATCTTGTATCTACTCCTAATTTAACGTGTAAAAATCCGTCTTTCGCCCCTTTTGCATAGCATTTTTTTGGTTGAACTTTTGGTCTAGAATTGAAGAAGAGTGTTGGAACTTTCAAAGTTTTTGTTCGTATGTCATTGATCCATTTAGTGCGAGAAAGACAAGTAAACAACCAATTCTCGTGAAGTCTACTGAACAACAATTTGATATTTAATTGACATACTAACCTTGATGGGCATTCCGTTCTTTTCGACTTTTTCTATTAAATCAACAATTTGTATTCAAATCAATAAATAATTCAATAATATTTTTTTTATATAAATCAATTTCTATATATACCTAACCTATGTGTGTGTGTATGTGTGTGTGTGGGGGGGGGGGCTCATTTCTATGGGTGAGCCAGGGCCCCCATGCGTCTTAATCCTGCACTGGTTATTGTCATGTTATGGAATTAACACAGATTAGTTGTCCGAGACCTGATTTACATCTAGAGTTATCAGCCCTTGAATTATGCCACCTGTGTAAAATCAATGGCAGTGGAAAACGTCTGGAATCGGAACAACCTGCCAGATTATGTGTGAATTATATGTTTTTACAAGGACACAAGACATATAATCTACGGTTAAATGTACTTAATATCGGAAAGATGTCGGTGTATGACTTGAATGATCTGCAAGCCAAGTATGATGTTTTGGCGAACGAGGTGGGTTGTACTGTAGTAAATGAAACGAAATAAATGATTTTTAAAATGTGATTTAACGTCCTACTGTTCTTCTCCGTCGGGCATACGCCATACAGTGTGCTATGAGGGAAATATTGACCGGACAGCTGCGCTACGTCCTACTCTTTTATGGAATTCCAACTGCTAAGGGATCTTTAGCGTGCACGCCAATGTGTATACAGGAACTCGGTTTTTCGTCCTATCCGGACTACTAGTACTACTAGTACTAGACAGATCCTCTACTAGTCCTGCACCATGTAAACATTCCCGTGCACGTAAAAGAACCCTCCAAGTGACAGTTGGAATTTTTATAAGAGTAGTCCGTAGCGCCACCAGTTTGGGTAAAATGCCTCTAAGTTATAGAGACTAACACATCATGTTGTACGCTCGTCTGGGTCAGAACAGTAGGATATTAAGTTAACATAAATCATTCATACAAAAAAATGCATCTCAACCTGTACATGTAGCTTTCAGGTATAGGTCTACTATGTTACATGTACCACCGGTATGCATATAGAACATTACAAACTGTACAAATAATAAAACGAGTACGAAAGTGTAAGTCCCATTTCTGTACTGTAGACGCTTTCGTCGCAAATGCAAATGTAATGGGACTGTTGAGAGTTGAATATCTCTGTACAGAAGAAAAAAAAACTTTTGATGGCCCTTTTCGTCATTTTATCTATATACATGTATTTGAATGCATTTTACATGTACATATAAATGTAGGCCTTAAAAAAAGTTAAATACATATCCTGAAAGATGCATGATCTTGACTGGCGAATTTATTAAAGGACTCTTGTTTTTTTTTTAGTATCAGATATGTCGATGTAAATTGGACAGTAAATGTGAAGCATTGCTTATATTGAGTAAAGAATTGGACCAATGTCGGAGTGAAAGAGATCAATTTAAGTTAATGGCTGAACAACTGAGAGAAAGATATCAGGCTTTAAAAAGACAAATATCAGGAAGGGTAAATATTACTGTCAAATTTAGACTCTAGACCATCACCCACACATTGCACGTGCATGTAGGAGCCACAGTGGGTAAGACGCTGGCTCGCTAATCTGGAGGTTGTGTGTTCGATCCTTGCATTGGCCGAGAAAGTTCGTTGGTGTTCCCTTTTCAGTGGTGCTGGGCGGAGGGCCGGACAAGGACAGCTGTCTAGTAATTCGGATGGGACAAACAAACAAGGCCCTGTGTATACATTGGCGTGCTCGTAAAAGATCCCTTAGCAGTTGGAATTACATATAAGAGTAGGCCATAGTGCCGCTGCCGGGGCAAAATTTCCCTCATAGCACACTGTATGGCATATGCCCGTCTTTACAAGTAAAATAGCAAAAGTCATTTGTTCAGAAAAGAATGATACTATTAATTCATCATTAACATTGATAAGGAAACAATCTTGTGTTCATTTTTTCTGTAAACTGTACTTTTCAAAACTTGAGTTCGGGAAGTTGGGGTTGGGGGGCTGAATGGTTTAACATGTGCACTTTACATGTGATCACAAGGTCTGTCATTGAGTCAAGTAGAATGGTTTTCAATTCCCAGCTTGTACGTGACAAGGCATAGGTTCACCTGTCCATTCTTGAGGATTTTCTCCCGGTCCTTCGGTTTCTGCCCATTTCTAAAGGCCCCAACACACAAGCAAATCATTGAAATAAAATTGAACAATATGTTAGTCTTGAAATGACCTAACTTGTTTGTGTTGTGCTTACATGTATCAGTTAAAAGCCCTTAGCTGCAATGATCACTTACTAGTATTAAATTTGTGCAATTTGGGGACTTAATTGTTTGGTTAACCCTGTGGAAAAAACCTAACGGTTGTATATCTTTGAAAAGGTACAAAAGTCAGCTTCATATAGTTTGCAATGGGCTAGAATACAGGGCCCTGTTTCTCGAAATCTTAACTAAAGTTAAAATCCAAATTTTAGTAGATACATATACTTCAATTTTGATTGGCTAAAGCACTAAAATCAATCTAATATTATCCAATCAAATTACTAAAATTTGGATTTTATCTTAGTTAGAATTTCGTGAAACAGGCCCCTGATTTATAAGTTTCTTTCATGATGATATGAACCGATGATTGTTATTCATTCTGTTTTATTTTTTTGTGGTATTATTGAATTATTTTTAGTCACCACAAGGTTCATCAAATGATCTGTTAGATGTTCATATGTATAAAGACATGGAAACAGAGGTAATTAATATTATCATTTCCTTTCTTATAGTAAAAGTAGCGATATTGTTATTTATAAAAAAACAACCACATCCAGTCTTTGGTAAAAACCAACGACATCTAGACAGAAGCACCACAATCCCGACAAAATGTTCGACCTCTTCATAGCACACTGCGTGGCATTTTATTTAACCTGGTTAATTTATTTCATTTTTTTACGCCCACATTAAAGTTAATATCCGATTGACTTTAAATTTATACACAGTGTTTAAGGTCATGAGACGAAGAATCCTATTGATTTCCGATAACATTCTATTCAACAATTAACACAGTTATTTTTATATTCAATTTACTTAAGGACATTCTTTGCTTACAGAGGTATCGTTAATATCTAGAATGTCCCACATGCTTTGGGGAGCCTCAGAGGGTGAGATGCTGGCTCGTTAGCCTGGAGGTTGCGTGTTCATTGTTCAATCCCTGCATTGGCTGAGAAGGTTAATCAGGATTTTCCGACGTGGTTTCCCTTGTCAGTGGTGCAGGACGAAGGGCCTGACAAGGCCAGCTGTCTGGCCGTTTGAATGGGTCGGAAAACAAAAGGTCCCATGTATACATTGGCGTGCACATAAAAGATCCCATGGCAGTGTGAAATCGATATAAGAGTGAGCCATAGCGCCCAGCCCAGGCAAAATTTCCTTCGTAGCACACAGTATGTTGTAAGCCCGTCTTCATTAGCACAGTATAAGAGCAAAAGAGTAGGACGTTAAACCCCAATTCATTTCATTTCTCACATGCTTCTGACAGGTAGACTAAACCAGATTACAGTCATAATCCAAACGATTATAGGGATTACCGAAATGACAATCTCGGTCGTGCTTCATTTTACGGTACTATGAATATTTGCATTGCCGACATCCGGTGACTAGAAGTTGATTTTCATGCGATGAATACATATTTTGGGGTGAATTAGTTACAAATTTTGCTGATGGTAGTGCACGCTTATACAATGTACTTATTGAAACAAGGGGCGCAATTAATTGAATCCCTAGAAATGATGATCCTAATTTGTTTCAGAGCTTGGTTCAGCTTCTGTGTGATACAAAAGAAATAAAGAAATCTCTACAGTTTGAAACGGATGATTTGAAACAGAAATTAACTGATGCTCAGGGTGACATCAAGGTATGTAGCCATTTGTTATGGCACTCACATCATGTTGGTTGGTCCCACATGTTCACTTCGGATTATAACTGATTGAGATCTTGGTATATCTCATCTTCGGGTTACTTCCAAATAATGGATATACATGTAAGGCACCTGACACAGACTTTGTCAGGTACAAATTATCACCCAACATATACATGTATATACAACCCTAGTCATAACACACCTGTAATAAACTTTGTAAGGTAAAAATTGTCAGATATCCTCTCGCAGTCTCACACAACAACTTTTGGTCTTCGAAGAAATTATTAGTGAGCAGAAATTCGGCTGTGTATATGTTATCACTCGTCGCTTCAGTCAGTTATATAGAGCAGCGACTCGTGTTTTCCTTTGGCGTTCGTTACTTCCGATATCGGAAACCTGTATTACTCAGCTATCGTAGCAATGATCTCTGTGTTAAAAGTATATTTGGAATGTGTTTAACCAGCTCTAACACATATGTGATAATGACTGGCACCAATATTGTCCTTTAAAGAAACATTATGGCAGATTAGATAAAGAGCTGGCAGTTCTCACTATAAAAGTTAAAAACTAGGTAATGTAAAGGCAATTTGCTGAAAATTTCAGTCAAATTGATCCACTGTGAATCGAGATTTTAGCGATTGAATTTTCAGCCTAGCCTCGATCATCATTACTAAAATCGGTAAACATATTCTTGATTATTCATTTCATGATTTAATTATGAATGGACGTTGAACAGCAAATCGGAACCTAATCCAATAAACATCGCAGACTAGCGATGGCATCGAGAATTGATTATGGTCTGGATAAGTTAATTAATGTCTAATTAATAATTTAGATAACATTTCAGACCTAAAGAAAGATCTGCAATAGGCAGATTTGACTTTTGCATAATGTATGTTTAATAATCAGTCTCATCATTAAATACATAACCAAATTCTGGTTATTATGAATTTGATTTAGAATTAATAACCTTTTTGGTTTACATGTACAGTAATATAGCAGACAAACAAACACATTGTTCCTTTTATGCATAATATGTATGGATACATGTATATATAATTAGAAAATTATACAAATTTACAAGTCTATGCACCTGCTGGTTATGTATGTATTGTTTAGAGGAGTTAGTTTTAGTTATTGATTTATTTGAACAGATGATAGACAGATAATTACCATCTGTATATCAGACAGTGTGATAAATACTGTCATTGTTATTATCTACCTTAATGAAAAACATGTATTTGACCAGACAGCAGATGATAGGCAAACAACAATCTTTAATTGTACCCATAATTTCCAGATCCCAGCTTAGGCTGCCACAAAGAGAAAAAATTCAAATATTTATTTGATAAATTTCAAGGCACAAAAATCGAAGAAAAAGATAGAAAAACAAACCATAGAAAGTGATATTAATGTGTGTATCAACAAGTAACAGCTGTTGTAACCTACATACTAGCTATACATGCAGCGTTGTGTTATAATTAATTCATTATCAAATTATTCAATCAATAATAGAAACAGGTCGCTTTATCTGTATACATATCTTTATGTATATTTTAAAGGATAAGTATTATTAAAAAATGGTGGATTTAAATATGTAAACCAAATAATGAAATGAAATAAAATGGGGTTTAGCATCCTACTGTTTTGCTCCTTCTTGGCTAATGAAGACTGGAACTAAAAACATACCAATATTTTAAAAGATAGGTATCATTAAAAAGATTTTTAAAAATAAGTTGGTTGAAATACGTAAACCAAATACCCATATTTAAAGTATAAGTGTTATTTAAGTCCCAGCTCAAAAGAAATGAACATTAGAGCAGGAAAACTGGGCAACAAAAAACAATAAACTTGACAAACAATGCATAAGTACATCACTTACATGTAAAGTTATTTTTATGACAACTCATTAAACTCATAATTCAGTAGATCAATATAAAGTCATGGTTGGGTCTGTGGAATAGGGGCCAGGTGCCTGCCAGTTCTCTGCCCCACCTTGAAAAAATTCAAATGACCCTTTTTAACTGCACTGGTTAGAAATAAAACTACTCGACAAAACAATAGTTACTGATGATCTTGTGTAAAATAACTTTATTTAACGTCTGTATCATCAAAGTGATATCACCAACAACTAATCACCTATTGGGGGGATCACGGTGGCTAAGTGGGTAAGGCGCTGGCTCGCTAGCCTGGAGGTCGGGTGTTCGATCCCTGCATTGGCCGAGAAAGTTCATCCAGATTTTCCGGCGGGGTTCCCCCTTGTCAGTGATGCAGGACGGAGGTCCTGACAAGGACAGCTGTCTATTCATTCGGATGATATGAAAAACCGAGGTCCCGTGTACACATTGGCGTGCACGTAAAAGATCCCTTGACAGTTGGAATTCGATATAAGAGTAGGCCGTTGTGCCGCTGTCCGGGCAAAATTTCCCTTATAGCACACTGTATGGCGTATGCCCGTCTTCATTAGCCCATTTCTGAGCAAAACAGTAGGACGTTAAACCCCATTTCATTTCATTTCCTATTTCTATGAGTGTTTTATATAGGTGGGTTATATTAAAGTTTCCTCTCCCCACCAGATCAATACTTGTAGAACTGACAACTGTGTGGTATGATTTTTAAAAATTAGTCTCGATTTTCATTACATGCTTCAATCCAGTTGGTAAAACACTTTTCAATGGTGTCCACATTCGAGATTGTTCAGTATACCATAATGTATATGATTGTGTCAAATTTGATGCATTTACCACAAAATGCACAATTATTTTACAATTCTCTCAAACTCATTTGGCTCGTTTCGATCGAGTTTTTGATGGTCTATGTACCTATTTGAGTTGGTTCCCTTCTCCCCTCCTTGGCTGGATTTACGTTTGTAGAATTGACAATCATGTAATATATTTAAATGACATGTTTTACAGTTGCTACGGGAACAGATCGCTAGACAGAGAGTTGGAACAAGTGATGAAGGCATGACAACTAGACATTTTCCAGCCTATGAAAGAGAAGATTTAGTGAAACAATTAGAAGCTTCCAGAGAACAGGTAGTAAACAAATTTCAACAGAAAAGATCATTTTTACCCTATTGATATTTCTCAGGCTCTGCAGACTCCCACTACTATTAAAGACCACTATACAAATTATTTTTTAAAAAGGGCCCAGTGGAAGGACAATTTTAGTCAATTTTTCCATAAACTCCAGTTAATAGTGCCATCTGGTGGCAAATTAACCAAAGCATTCTGTGGAGCAATTGTTTGCAGGTAAAAACGATCAAAGTCACATCCAACCAGGCCCTTCTGAAATGGTATAAGTCCATCGTAAGCTCTATTTTAGCTTAGTTTGACTGGAAAGTTGAAGTCAGAGCTACTGGTAATTATGATTCGTATTAAACATCATTTTGAAGTTGTAATTAAACACACTCGTTAGGGTCAAGCATTCTCGTCCAAAAGTTTGTTTTGCATTTTATCGAAGACAAAAATATGACTTAGATCGTTCTTCCCCTGGGCTCTTTAAATGTGACTTAGATTGTTCTTACACTGGGCTCTGCAAATGTGACTTAGATCGTTCTCCCATTGGGCTCTTCCAATGTGAAAAACAAAAATATTACTTGGATTGTTCTTCCCCTGGGCTCTTCAAATGCAACTTAGATCTTCTCTCACTTGGCTATTCAAATGCCATATGTTGGTCCTTAAAGACCTTTTTTATGTTGTGTGGACTTAAACCCCATTTCTATCTCTGTCTCATGTTTTAGTATTTACAACTGGAACACGATCTACAACAATTACTGGATGAAAAAGAAGACCAAGAGACAGAATTGGATGCCTACAAAAGAAAATATGAAAATTTAAATCGTGAATTAAACTATATTTTAAAAGGAGATGAAAAGAGGATTGTGGACATTGATGCTTTAGTTATGGAGAATAAGTTAGTATACCTTTCTACTAGACAATGTATAGTCGTTATTGGTCATGATTTAACTGTCAACACAACTTAATCGGTCATGATTTAACTGTCAACACAACTTAATCGGTCATGATTTAACTGTCAAAGCCACTTTATCGGCCATGATTTAACCATCAAAGCAACTTTATCGGTCATGATTTAACTGTCAAAGCAACTTAATCGGTCATGATTTAACCATTAAAGCCACTTAATTGGCCATGAATTAACTGTCAAAGCCACTTAATCGGTCATGATTTAACTGTCAAAGGCACTTTATTGGTCATGATTTAACTGTCAAAGCCACTTAATTGGTCATGATTAATGTAACAAAATCATATGAAGAGATGTGATTACTATAGAAAAATATATATTGGTTGTAATAACTGCGAAATCCGCATTGTTGAATTCTCAAATAACATGTACCGAGTACACTAACCACAAATACCCCATGCTAAGGGAATACATATGTTGAAAAGTAAAATCAAAACTACCGAAGTGAAATTCATAACTCTCTCATGCAAGTCAAACAATAGTCTTTCAACCTTATACTTATATGACAGTTTAGAAAGAAAACATTTCTAAATTATATATTTTTACCAGGTGGTAGGTACAGGATGTGAATCAGTAACTGATTCTTGATCTGAGTTATTTCCCTTTGACAATATTCATGCACTTTATTAGACTTCAGTAAATTTGTATTAATAAAATGTAAATTCACTGCAGAACTTCAAATGATACTTATCAGTATCTCTAAACTAAATGCAGTCTTTTTGTGATCAGATATTAATTTTGTCAGTACCCCCTAAATCTAGTTGTTTTTTGTATCAGATATCGAATTTAGCAGTATCCAATCTGATTAAAATACAGATCTATATTTTGTTTCGTTTTTTTATACTTTCGACGGCATACACTACATGAAGATTGGACCGGTTGGTGCGATAGGTCACGTCAGAGGTCATACGCGCGGCTTTTGTCCCTATGACGTCAGACATTTGATTAACCAATCAGCGTTGTTGTTACTAGTGGATTACCCACAGTACCATGTAAAACATGCCTAAAGTTTGTCATTCAGAACATGTCAATGATAACAACTCTTCCAGATACTAGTGTTGTGAAGACAAGTTAGACGAAATTTTGAACTATAAAAAACATGTTTCTAGTTTGTTACTCATAGCTCTGTGCACCACAGCCAAAAACTCGCCATAACTGACCTTCCATTGGCTAATCCCTCACAGCATCCAGAATGTGGGTTATATTACAACTTTTTCAGTGTAGTAAAGACGAGTAAAACGAAATTTTGAACTATAAAAAACATGTTTCTAGTTGGTTACTCATAGCTCTGTGCACCACAGCCAAAAACTCGCCATAACTGACCTTCCATTGGCTAATCCCTCACAGCATCCAGAATGTGGGTTATATTACAACTTTTTCAGTGTAGTAAAGACGAGTAAAACGAAATTTTGAACTATAAAAAACGAAACGAAATAGGATCTGTGTTTTAATCAGATTGAGCAGTATTTGTAAATGCAGTCTATTATTTTATTTGTATCAGATATTTAATGGAGAGACTAAAACAAATGGAAGAAGAAAAGACAATGGCCATGGCAACAGCCTCCAAATATAAGGTAATATTTACAGTATAACTGATCTTTCTTTCCTACACCTTTCTACGGACAATGTATAGTAGTTTGGATAGGACAAAAAAAACCAGAGGTCCTGTGTACACATCAGTGTGCACATAGAAGTCCTCCTGGCAGTTGGAATTTTATAAACGCGTAGGCTGTAGCGAGTGACGCTGTCAGGGCAAAATTTAGCCTCATAGCACACTGGTGGGGTTGGGAGTGGTCGGGGGATGGCCGAATAGTTAGCATGTGCGCTCTGTATCATAAGGTCTGTCATTGAGTCAATTGGCGTGGTTTCGATTCCCCGGTTGTACGTGACAAGGAGTAGGGTCGCCTGTCCAACCTCGTGGGTTTTCTTCAGGTCCTCCGGTTTCCTCCCACTGATGAAGACCCCTATGCGCAAGCGAATTATTGAAATAAAATTGAACCACATGTTAGTCCCGTAATGACTGTTGAGTGGACGTGAAACCCTCTCTCTCTCTCTCTCTCTCTCATAAATCACATCCCATTATTTACAATTCTTCGACATTTTGGGTGTATATTGTATATTGTTTGTATTTCGTCAGGGGGTCGGAGGGTGGGTCATCGACTGGTTTAACACATGTTCTTTAGATCACATTGTCTGTCATTGAATCAAGTGGCATGGGTTTGATTCCCTGATTGTACATGTAGGTGACAAGGAGTAGGGTCGCCTGTCCAACGTAGTGGGTTTTGTCCACTGCTAAAGACAACTATGCGCTTGAATTATTGAAATAAGATTGAACCATATGTTTGTGCTGAAATGACTAGTTTGTGTTGAGTGGATGTTAAACCCTGTTTCTCTCTGTATTTCAATAGAGTATCTTGGAAAGAAAGAAGAATAAAGGGATATTAAAGTTTGGTCAGAGTCGAAGTGGTGGTTTGGTTATAACACAAAAACAAGGTTTGTTGTATTTCCAATCAATCCCATTAAAACATAGATCCTATTCCGTTTCGTGTTTTATAATACAAGGATCTGGCAAAGTTGTTATACTACCAGCGTTTTGGTTGAAGCGAGGGATTAGCCAATGAAACGGTCTGTTACGGCGAGCTTTAGGCATGTGGTGTACGTAACTGTGTGTAATCCACTAGAAACATCAATACTGATCGGTTAATCAAATGTCTGATGTCATAGGGTCAAAAGCCGCTCATGTGACCTCTGACGCGACCTATCACTACAACCGGTCAGATCTTCATGTAGTGTAGGCCATTGAAAGTATAAAAAAAGGAAACGAAATATAGATCTGTATTATAATCAGATTGATTACCAATATGTTCTAATGAAATAGGGGATCATGTGGCTGAGTGGGTAAGACGCCGGCTCGCTAGCCTGGAGGTCCGGTGTTCGATCCCTGCATTGGCCGAGAAAGTTCATCCAGATTTTCCGGCGTGGTTTCCCCTTGTCAGTGGTGCAGGACGGAGGGCCTGACAAGGACAGCTGTCTAGTTGTTCGGATGGTATGAAAAACCGAGGTCCCATGTACAAATTGGCGTGCACGTAAAAGATCACTTGGCTAGGCAAAATTTCCCTCATAGCACACTGTATGGCGTATGCCTGTCTTCACTAGCCCAGTTTAGGAGTAGGACGTTAAACCCCATTTCATTTCATTTCTAATATAATATTTAAAAGAAGCAATTAAATTGTCTATTAAAACTAATCTTATTACTATACAATGAAGAGATTTACTACAGGTTACGAAAATGTGAATGGTCTGATTAGAAAAAGATCTCAATTTCATCAATGCCATCATTCGTTGGAAAATCTGGCGCAGACCAATGCACCCAGAAAACGTCATATAAGTACGGTACATCATAATCGAGTACCGATTTGTGGGTCTGAAATGGCGAATCACACAAGATAAGAAATAGATGTGATGAAAATGAAATGAAATGGGGTTTAATGTCCTACTGTTCGGCTCTGACTCGGCTAATGAAGACTAGCATACGCTATACAGTGTGCAATGAGCGTAAATTTGCCCAGAAAAATTCCAACTGCCAATGTATGCAGGGGACCTTGGTTTTCATCCCATCCGGATGACTATACATTGTCCCTTACAAGGCCATTGGCCATACTGTCAAGGGGGAACCTTGCCAGAAAATCCTGATGAACTGTCTCAGCTAATGCAGGGATCGAACAGGCGAGCTCCATGTTATTGAGCCAATGTCCTACTCACTGAGCCACCATGGCTGCATATGTGATGGAGTATGCAGATACCACTACTTACCTGTAACACATGAATTACTTTGATAATACGTACAGGAAATAACTATATATTTTCCTTTTTACCCTGTAAACACACCTACTAATCCTATTGTAAGCTTTAATCCCTTATTTCTTATTTTCGCAAGAATTACACCTATTAATCCTTTTATTAGCTTTAATCCTTTAACTCGCATTTTCGCAAGAAGAAGTTATGACTTTATGGTTTTAGACTGTTTAGGTCACTAAAAATGATTTCATGAGGATTAACCAAAATCTGGGTGTATCTTGTTATGGTTATCTCCCCTGATTGAATATTTAGCTAGGAAACTTAGCAGTCAATGTGATCACTATATACTTCAAACGAACTGTATCAAAATTTATAAGCATGCAACAGTTTTGTGTTGGGTCAATGTCCGATGACATGTAAATTTTGAATACGACCACTGCTACTTCAGATCTGTTTTATTTCTAGGCCCTTATCTCGAAAAACTTGAAAGCCACCGATAAGAGTGATCTTGCTGGACATACATTCGTTGACTGGCAACTCTGTTATTTTAGCTTTAATAAAATGCATGCAATATAAAGTTGATTTACATATTTCAGTTTTTTTTAAATTCTAACCTCTCTCTTCTTTGACTTCGATTTCAGTTGGTCAAATGTTACACAATCCAAATGCCATGCCGTCAACGCCGCAAGCAATGGCTGATTTACAGGGCCTGTGTGGAGCATTGTTAGATACGATAAACGATAAAAACCTTGCTCTGTCTCACCAACGTAAAACTAACAAGTAAGTCAAATATTTAGAATCCTTATAAGACATATAGAAATAGATTTCACTAAAATTAACACATGGATGTACTACTTCTGAATTTTATTAAAGGGACTAACAGAGTCTCAAAAATAACAGTCTGAGTACGTATGAAACTTAAGTGCCAAAATATAGAGGAATGGTGTATTTACCTTGTCTCAAAATTTCAGCTCAAAATATTGAGTCGTTTGGACGCGAACGTCAAAAATGCTTATCCGGACACGAAACCCTTTTATGATTTCAGGTTAATTAATTCATTGGGTGATCTGATAATCGATTCCTGTTCCTTTAGAGGTCTATACAGTAAATGACCCATGTGCTGTACTTGATAATGAAATTTCACCTACACATTATTTTTATAAAATAAAAGTCTAGTTTTATCCAGACACCGCATAATACAGCTTGGGACACCGGTCTTCATTTCCAGATGAAGACTGACAGGTTTAAGTTGTTTGAAAACGTATCACAAATATTGAGTTAGTTACTTGGCCCTTAGGTAGAGGAGTTTAAGGGCTTTTAACACAAAATTCAGCATTCTATTCTCAAAAATATTATCTGGATTTGCCCTTTAACATGCATTTGCTTGATAACGATACCTCTAGGTGTATTGAAATGTAGCATGTTAATAAAATTCAGAAGTAGTATATCCATATAAGTGTGTTAATTTAAGTCAATATTTAGTTGTACTAAAAAACCAGGGAAGATCTTGCTATTCCATCCATCTTTCCATCCTGATAATGTTTCTGGAGCATATCGTGTACACCGTTCACGATATCTTTATGGAACTTTGTACCCATATCAACCCAAACTGATCAGCAGTGAATATTCGCTAGGCCACTAATATCACTGAGAGGGATGACATTGGGGCGAGTTAATTAGCTAGCAATATTAACTTTTTTCTTTTTACAAATTAAATTCTAAAACATATTTTTTTGAGGTATTATTAAAAAAAATAAAGGTGTTTGAAGCATATCTGGATGAAAAATAATTCCTATTTTACAAATTAAATCCTAAAACATATTTTTTTGAGGTGTTGTAAACAAAAAATAAAGGTGTTTGAAGCATATCTGGATAAAAAAAAATTCCTATTTAGTGTAACTGAGTACATATAATAGTATGTTAGTATCTTTCGAAAAAGCCTAAGACTCCAACCAATTACCGTACGAGAGACCATGAAACTTGACATGCTTGGACAATTTCTAATCGATAAGATGCTTTCTATTTTCCATGTCACAATTTAAAAATGGCTGCAATGATGTTGTACTAGTTTCCTGGTCTGTAGTCAGATAACACTTGTTTTGTCTGGTAATTAGGTGAGCCACTCTCAGTGAGTAAGACATTGCTATCCCTGCAACGGCCGAGAAAGTTCATAGAGTTTTTCTGGTGTGGTTCGGATAGGATGAAAAACCAAGGTCCTGTGTACACATTGGAATTTGATATAAGAGTAGGCTGCAGTGCTGCTGTCCCAAAAAAATTTCAATCATAGCATGCTGTATGTCCGTCTTCATTAGCCCAGTTAGAGTAGAACAGTAGGACGTTAAACCCAATTTCGTTTGACTTTTGTATAGTAATGGAAATGTTTTTTCTTTTGTTATATTTATAGAATTTTAGGTAGTCGTATTTCTGAACTAGAGAAGAAATTAAAAACGTTGGAAGTTTCTGGATTGTGGAATGTACCAGGTGAGACAATTGATTGTTTTTAAAGTAATGATGTTTGATTTGCATTTTGACGGAAAATATCAAATATATCAAATTTCTCCGGGTCCTCCAGTTTCCTCCCACTGCTAAAGACCCCTACACTCATGTGAAATATTGAAATAAAACTGAAGCATGTGTTAGTCCTGAAGTGACCTAGTTTGTGTCGATTGGATATTAAACCCTATTTCTCTCTCTGTCATAAATCACTTCCGATTATTTACAATTCTTCGACATTTTGGGTGTATATTGTATATTATTATTCGATTTGTGAAGAGTATATTGTTTGTACATGTATTTCGTCCGGGGGGGGGGGGGGGGGTTGGATGGCCGAATGGTTAGCACGTGCGTGCTATATCATAAAACCTGTCATTGAGTCAACTGCCGTGGTTTCGAATCCCCGGTTGTACGTGACAAGGAGTGGGGTCACTGTCCAATCTCGTGGGTTTTCTCCGGGTCCTCTGGTTTCCTCCCACTGCTAAAGACCCCTATGCACAAGCGAATCATACAAATAAAATTGAACCATGTGTTAGTCCCGAAATGACCTAGTTTGTGTCGACTGGATGTTAAACCCCATTTCTCTCTCCCTCTGGGAGTGGAATGGCATGAGACCACTGGGAATACTGAGGATGACAGTCTATATTGCAACTGAAAAACTAATATCTGGTTTTATTCCTGCATCTGAGTTAGGGGGGTTGGATGGCTGAATGGTTAGCGTGCGCGCGCTGTATCATAAAGTCTGTCATTGAGTCAACTGGCGCGGTTTCGAATCCCCGGTTGTACGTGACAAGGAGTAGGGTCGCCTGTCCAACCTCGTGGGTTTTCTCCGGGTCCTCCGGTTTCCTCCCACTGCTAAAGACCCCTATGCGCAAGCGAATTATTGAAATAGAATTAAACCATATGTTTGTCCCGAAATGACCTAGTTTGTGTCGAGTGGACGTTAAACCCCATCTCTCTCTCTCTCTCGCATCTGAATTATCTATCCCTTAATAAAAATTGAGCATTACCAGGGTTCCCGCGGTCCTTGAAAATCCTTGAATATCCTTAAATTTAAAATTTCATTTTCAAGGTCTTGAATATCCTTGAATTTCGCACAAATAGAAAAATATCCTTAAATTTCAGTTGAGATCCTTAATTTTGTTTCAAATGTCTTCAATTCCTTTTAAATATGAGATTATAACGATAGTTGGTAATGTTTTGGTTATTTTTAAGATGAAAAATTGTAACTTTAGGCTAAAAAATGTCCTTGAAAATCCTTGAATTTGACGTATATTTATCATTGAATATCCTTGAAAAAACGTTTGACGAAGCCGCAGGAACCCTGATTACGCACTTGCTTTGAATTTTGATTTTCTTATATTGCAGATATGACAAGCCTGGAGAAATTGAGACATGAATGTGATGAAGTTAAAACACTTATACCTCGCCTTTTCTCGGAATCCAGTGACAATTCTGTTCCAAACACAGAGAAACTGGACGATCTGAATGACTTTGAATCAGAATTATCTTCCAGTACTCCCAGTTCTGTTACAAGTCCTGTGCATGTTACCCAGTCTGTGCGTTTTTCTGCGAATACAGTTCACATGGATGACTTGGATCTACTTCCTACTAAAGAAACCACGCAGGAAGTCAAAACTACAGGTTAGTACTATTTTATTTTTATACACATGTATCAACACATATTGCCTTCACCCCTGTCCGCCCACCCTTCTTTCGGAAGGAGGGAGAGAGAGAAATGGGGTTTTATGTTCACTCAACACAAACAAGGTCATTTCTTGACCAACATACGGTTTAATTTTATTTCAATAATTCGCTTGCACGTAGGGGTCTTTTAGCAGTGGGTGGAAATCAGTTCATTTGGAGGAGGTAGGATGGCTGAATTGTTAACACGTGCTCGTTGGATCATATGGTCTGTCGTTGAGTCAAGTAGCGTGGTTTCGATTCCCTGCTTGTAATAAATAATGATAATAATAATGAAGTTTTATATAGCGTCTTCTCCATGTTGACACATGCTCAAAACACTTTTTGTAATGGCTCTACTGGTAAAACTGTTGAAACAGGAAAGTCTTTAGTGTGGATTTAAATTGATTAAAAGTTTGTTGATTCTTGATCTGTTGTGGAAGTTCGTTCCATAATCTAGGACCAGCTGAACTGAAAGACCTATACCCGTATGACTTTAAACTATATCTTGGAACAACTAGTGACTGTTTATTTTGAGAGCGAAGTGATCTAATATGGTTGTAGTCATATAAGAGTTCAGATAAGTATTGAGGAGCTGCATTATTGTGACATACTAATGTTAGTATTTTGTATTTGACTCGCGCCTCAGCGGGTAACCAATGTAAAGAAGCTAGCACATTCTGGATGTGATCAAACTTATGTGTCCTTGTTACTATTCGGGCTGCAGTATTAAGAACTTTTTGGATCTTGGCTAGAAATACTGACAATGAGTAAGGTTGCCCGTTTGTGGGTTTCCTCCAGGGCTGCTAAAGACCCCTACGCGCAACCAAATTACTGAAACAAAATTGAACTATATGTTAGACCCGAAATGACCTGGTTTGTGTCGAGTGGGCGCTAAACCCCATTTCTTTCTTTCTCTCATTTGAAATTTTCAAATTTTGGCCTCAGATTAAATTTTTTCTCACTCTCTTTCTGACACACATATCGTAGATAAAACCCTAAAATACAGAACCCGAGTTCACAAAGCATTCTCAGGCTTAAGTCAAGAATTTACTCAACTTTCAATCACTGTTTATGAGAAATACCTTTGATCCAGAAACAAAAAAACGTGCACATAGTTTCGTTTTGATGTATTTGATACATTAAAACAACAACAGTTTTATAAAGGGCTATATTTTAGTTAAAACAAGGCGAACAAATTTGAGTAAATTCTTAACTTAAGTCTGAGAATGTTTTGTGAACTTCAGGCCAGAAGTGTCTATTATTTCTGTTAAAAGTAAATAATATCTTTCAATATGTTTAATAGTATTTTTAATACTTATATTTCAGAATTATCTCTGTCAGCCAATCAAAAATGTCTTCCAGCTAAATCGGAATCTGAGGATGATGAGTCAGAATCAGATCAACTTTTAGCCGGATTTATCATCGGAAAAACTGGTAGGAAACATACAACTCGGAAAGATTCTGGAAGAGGCAAATATTCTAAATTAGATTCTAGATCATTACTGGATAACTATAGTCAAAGTGAAAGCGAAAGTAGTCCAGAGAAACAGAAATACAATACAGAAGGTGTCGATTACGATTCCGAAATGACAGATAAAATATCATTATTATTAGGCGATGCAACGGCTAAACTACAAAATAAAAATAAGTTGGTTGAAGACAAGTCTTTGAGACCAGCAAAGAACACACAAAAATCACAAGTCAGTCGGAAATCGCTGCCAAAATCGTCTTTGGTTATTAATGTTGATTGTGATTTCGATTCAAGAACAGATAACTCTGTGAAACCTAGCAAAGTTACCGGAAGTGATCTACAAGACATAAATAGAGCAAAAAATGTGAAAAATGCCTCGATTGATAAAAATTTAATAGATATGGATTCACCAGTTCACGAATTGAGAACATTGGTGGAAGCCCCAAACATAACTGAACAGATTGACAATGATTTAATAAAATCAGAAGAGACAGGTCACAACCCGAGCTCAGAATCATCTGCCGTAGTCCCTGCAAGAATGGCAGCTACTGCTTTGGAATCTCGAGAGTCAATTGAATCCAGTGTGGAAATTTGTGAATCCAATTCAAAATCATCAGGGCACAGTGATCAAACTGAATCTCACTTGGATATTTCAGAATCCAAGCCTAAACTCTTGCATCATGACTCTTCTTCAGAATCTCATGTCTCGAGTCATGACCCAATCCCTGCCTCGGTTATTGAAACCATTGCTGATTACAAAAGTTGTGATATGCCTCAAGTTTCAAATCAAGAGCCCACTTATGTCTCCGTGAATGAGAACAATGCAGAATCTACAGAACATTGTGATAACTCTGAATCTTCCACATTCAACCACAGCAGCACCTCAACAGTTTCTGTATCTTTGGAAGACACTATTTGTCAATCAGTGGAGGTTGACAACATTGTTTTAAACTCTTTGAATTGTGATAAAAATACAGACTTTAAAGCTGAGTTTGAGTCGGCAAACAATGGCAGCAGTCCTATACAAGATGAAGATCTCGAACCTAGCCCCGACGAGAATACAGATTGCATACCAACAAACTGCAACATTGTTCATACTTCTTCTATTCCTGCTATTCATATAGAGAAAGATGTTGATTCATTACTTCCATCCCATAATATTAACACATCACATGATTCAATAAAAGAAGCTGATTGGGTTAGAGAGACCGATGACGATGAGGTGGAATTGGCTGATGAGTCAACACAGCTTGTTACCAATATCCATGAGGATGATTATTCGGTTGAAGTCGTTACCATGACAACTAGTGATCAGGAACCAGACAGCGAGGATGGGGACGAATTTGAAAGTGAAAATTCAGATTGTATTGAAGGGAACGCTGCTGAAGTCGAGATGACGGAGGGCGAGTTTACTAGTGAATTGCTATGCGTGGAAGTTGATAATGATGTTGATGATGCAAGTAAAGACTTCTCGGTGTTGACTGATGTATCAGTGTCTGAAACCTCAGCAACTGAGGCGGAAGATTGTGATTCTCCTCTGGTTTCTGGGTCTTCTCAAAATCATCCACTTCTATTTGATGATAAAAACAATCCATCAGAGAAATCTCAACATTCGTCGTCAAATTCGACAAATTCTCATATGTGTTAAATGATTTGTCTATTTCTCATACCTGTTAAATGATTGGTCTATTGCTCATACCTGCTAAATGATTGGTCTAATTCCTGTATGTGTTAAAGGGGCATTATGGGAGATTAAAAATTCTTGATTATCCATTTTGACGTCAAATCATCCATCACAAAATGTATTCAAAGTCAATAAATATTGCAGGAGGCTAGTGATGGCATTTAGCGTTGATTATGGTCTGGATAAGTTAATAAATGTCAAGTTAATAATTTAGATAACATTTCAGGCCTAAAGAAAGACCTACAATTGGCAGATTTAGCTCTTGCATAATGTATGTTTAAGAAAGACCTGCAATAGGCAGATTTAGCTCTTGCATAATGTATGTTTAAATGATACATATATTTTAATGTTGAATGATGGGTTTAATTCTGAGACATGTTGAATAATAGGTTTAATTCTGAGACATCTTGAAGGATAGAATTAATTCTGAGACATGTTGAATGATAGAATTAATTCTGAGATATGTTGAATGATAGAATTAATTCTGAGATATGTTGAATGATAGAATTAATTCTGAGATATGTTGAATGATAGAATTAATTCTAAGATACATGTATGTTGAATGATAGATTTAATTCTGAGATATGTTGAATGATAGATTTAATTCTGACACATGTTGAATGATTTTGTTTATTGATTGATGGAGAATGCGTTTATGTATTCTGTTGTTAAATTAGTTCATTTTGTAGTTGATATTCCTAAAAGTAAAAAAATACAGCCGAAAGGCCCATAAAATCATTTTAGACTGGATTCAATTTTTATTCAGATCTGAACTCTTAGCAGGAAGTGAAGTCACAAACTAACCTGTGATTTTATCTTGGTTTCTTGACTAATAATTTAATGATTCCCGCAGCATATAAATTCTGTATGGGTGTAATTTATAGACCATCCAAACGTAAAAGATTTTGTTTTATTTTAGACTGTGATTTAAATGTATTTATTTATAACTAATTATTTCCATATTTGGTTGTTATATATTATATTATATTGGTTGTTATACTTGTGTTAATGTTCATCTTTTGTTGTTTTGGTTGTTATACTTGTACTAATGTTAATTTTTTGTTGTTTTTGTTGTTTTACATGTATAAATGTTCATCTTTTGTTGTTTTGGTTATTATACTTGTATTAATGTTAATTTTTATACGCCCACATTTTCATGTGAACGTATATTGTCGTCGCCCCTGTCCGTCCGGACGTCCGTCCGTCCACAATTGTTTGTGAACAGTCTACAGGTCACAATTTTTATCCGATTTCAATGAAACTTGAAATATAGGTTTATCACCCAAAGATCTCGGTTCCTTTCGATATTGGCATCTATCGGACCGTAACTTCATGGATTATGGCCCCTGATTGTACGAAAAATCACGTTTTTGGCTTGTGAACACTGTAGAGGTCACAATTTTTATCCAATTTTGTTGAAACTTGAAATGTAAGTTTATAACCCAAAGATCTCGGTTCCTTTCGATATTCGCGCATATCGGACCGTAACTTCCTGAATTATGGCCCCTGATTGTACGTAAAAACACGTTTTTTGGCTTGTGGACCCTATAGAGGTCATAATTTTTATCTGATTTAAAAAACCGTATTATTATATCACCGTTAAACCCTAAGGACGGTTGAGTTCGAATTTCGTGAAAATCGGCCCAAAACTGACAGACAAAATGGCCGCCGTTCGTTCTCAAATAGCGTAAAAATATGGTATATCAAGGTTGTGGACCCTATAGAGGTCACAATTTTTATCCGATTTTGTTGAAACTTAAAATGTAAGTTTATAACACAAAGATCTTGGTTCCTTTCGATATTCGCGCATATCGGACCGTAACTTCATGAATTATGGCCCCTGATTGTACGCAAAAACATGTTTTTTGGCTTGTGGACCCTATAGAGGTCATAATTTTTATCCGATTTAAAAAAACGTGTTAAAGTATCACCGTTACACCCTAAGGAAGATTGAGTTCAAATTTCGTGAAAATCTGCCCAAAACTGACAGACAAAATGGCCGCCGTTCGTTCTCAAATAGCGTAAAAATATGGTATATCAAGGTTGTGGACCCTATAGAGGTCACAATTTTTATCCGATTTTGTTGAAACTTGAAATGTAAGTTTATAACACAAAGATCTTGGTTCCTTTCGATATTGTCGCATATCGGACCGTAACTTCATGAATTATGGCCCCTGATTGTACGCAAAAATGCGTTTTTTGGCTTGTGGACCCTATAGAGGTCATAATTTTTATCCGATTTAAAAAAACGTGTTTATATATCACCGTTACACCATAAGGACGGCTGAGTTCGAATTTCGTGAAAATCGGCCCAAAACTGACAGACAAAATGGCCGCCGTTCGTTTTCAAATAGCGTAAAAATATGGTATATCAAGGTTGTGGACCCTATAGAGGTCACAATTTTTATCCGATTTTGTTGAAACTTGACATGTAAGTTTATAACCCAAAGATCTCGGTTCCTTTCGATATTCGCGCATATCGGACCGTAACTTCCTGAATTATGGCCCCTGATTGTACGAAAAATCACGTTTTTAGCTTGTGGACCCTATAGAGGTCATAATTATTATCCGATTTAAAAAATCATATTATTATATCACCGTTACACCCTAAGGAAGACTGAGTTCGAATTTCATGAAAATCGACGAAAAACTGACAGATAAAATGGCCGCCCTTCGTTCTCAAATAGCGTAAGAATATGGTATATCAAGGTTGTGGACCCTATAGAGGTCACAATTTTTATCTGATTTTGATGAAACTTGAAATGTAAGTTTATAACCAAAAGATCTCGGTTCCTTTCGATATTCGCGCATATCTTACCGTAACTTCCTGAATTATGGCCCATGATTGTACGAAAAATCACGTTTTTAGTTGTGGACCCTATAGAGGTCATAATTTTTATCCGATTTAAAAAAACGTATTATTATATCACCGTTACACTCTAAAAACAGCTGAGGTCGAATTTCATGAAAATCGTCCCAAAATTGACAGACAAAATGCCCGCCGTTCGTTCTCAAATAGCGTAAAAATATGATATATCAAGGTTGTGGACCCTATAGAGGTCACAATTTTTATCCGATTTTGTTGAAACTTGAAATGTAATTTTATAACCCAAAGATCTCGGTTCCTTTCGATATTCGCGCATATCAGACCTTAACTTCCTGAATTATGGTCCCTGATTGTACGAAAAATCGCGTTTTTAACTTGTGGACCCTATATAGGTCCTAATTTTTATCAGATTTAAAAAAACGTATTATTATGTCACCGTTACACACTAAGGGCGACGGAGTTCGAATTTCGTGAAAATTGGCCCAAAATTGACAGACAAAATGGCCGCCGTTCGTTCTCAAATAGCGTAAAAATATGGTATATCAAGGTTGTGGACCCTATAGAGGTCACAATTTTGATCCGATTTTGATGAAACTTGAAATACATATTTATAACCCAAAGATCTTGGTTCCTTTCGATATTCGCACATATTGGATCATAACTTCCTGAATTATGGCCCTTGATTGTACGAAAAAATCACTTCTTTTTTTGAGCTTGTTCTCTGTCCATCTCTTGCAAAATGTGGGCGTATCTTGCATGGCAACCGCTTGTTTGTTGTTTTACATGTATAAATGTTCATCTTTTGTTGTTTTGGTTATTATACTTGTATTAATGTTAATCTTTTGTTGTTATACATGTACTAATGTTAATGTTTTGTTGATTTGTTGTCATGGAAAAATTCAAAAATAAGTAATTTATAATAAAGCAGCCTCATTCCATTAACACAACAATAGTTAAACCATAGATAATGAAAGAAATAAATATATTGAAAATTTCATTTAAATGACTTTATTCTCAGCAAGGTTATGAATGGCTACTTTGAGGGGGGAACCGGAGCCACGGTGGCTTTGTGGATAAGACACTGGAGGTCGCCTGTTCGATCCCTGCATTGGCCGAGAAAGTTCATTGTGATTTTCCGGCATGGATTCCCCTGGTCAATAGTGCAGGATGGTGGGCCTGACAAGGACAGCTGCCTGGTCCGGTGGAATTCAATATAAAAGTAGGCCATGGTGCCGCTGCCTGGGCAAAATTTCCCCCATAGCACACTGTATGGCATATGCCTGTCTTCATTAGCCCAGCCGGAGCAGAACAGTAAGATGTTAAACCTCATTTCATTTTCATTTCTTATGAAAACCATGGACCTATCGTGTGAAGCAAGTGTGAAGCAATGTCTAAATAGACGTGTGAAACGTCTTAATAGTCACGTGAGATAGTCCATTCGAAGAGAGAAATGGCGTATAACGTCCACTCGACACAAGCTAGGTCATTTTGGAACAAACATATTCAATTTTATTTCAATAATTCGCTAGTGTGTAGGGTTCTTCAGCAGTGGAGGAAACCAGAGAAAGCCAACGAGGTTGGACAGGCAACCTTAAGCGGTGGACATACTAGTCGAATGATTCGGCCGAAGGAAAAATTTATAAGCCAATTACCACTCATATCGAGAAGTCACGTGATAGTTTAAATTTGAAGACATGGTTGGCGCATGGTTAATCGTGTAACGGTAAAAGGTAATACAATCAGCTGATGAATCGGGCGAAGCATTCGCCTAGTGTGTCCACCCATTTGGCCGAATAATATTCACGGCTGATCGATTCGTATAATGTATCCACCGCTTTACTCCTAGTCATGTACAAGAGGGGAATCGAAACCACGCCATTTGACTTTATCATAAAATGCGCATGCGTTAACCATTCCCCCTTTAATGCTGCATATTGGTTGTTTACTTTGATTCCACAATTTGACACCCCAACTAATTCCATCTTTCTTTATATATAGTTATTTCAAGCCACAGTATTACTAAATACCCCAAATGCTGCATGGTTATTTCACAGCTCGATTTCATTCAACTGCTGGTCCGACATACCCCTATCCGCTCTCTACAACCCACATCGTCGCAACAGTGCTTCACCAATAAAACATTTAATAAGATAGGTCCTTTATTTCTAGGGTAAATCAACTACAAAGTGCTATGTCCACAATTATGGTTTATAAAAAAATTAATTGTGCATCTTGTAAACTCTGAAAATAACTTTCTCCTTGTTTCATCAAACAGTTTTTGTTTTGAGATTGTTCTCTTCTGTGGTTTCTCAACTGATCACATGATTATGGTAAAACTATTTTATAGTTAGTATGTTTTAATATTTTAATAATGTCACTAAAACACCACCATAATAATAATGTTCAAGTTGAATGATTAATATTGTTTTATAGTATATATGATTGTAATACCATTCTAACTCAGTTTAATCAACCAGACTACATTCCCCATCGTGTACAACATAACTCAATACTCCCACCAGTGGACTATATCACCATCCTCTACACCATAATCTTTTAATGATCTATCTTGGTTGTAGCGGTTGTAACGATCGTAGACGTTCTTCTTCTGTTTTACGCTATAGATATAACCAACAACATTTCTATCACACTTCCTTCTTAACTTCTCCTGTATCATCTCTTCTACTTGTCTTACTGTTTTATCTTTACTAACACTTATAGTCATCTTATCATACACACTGTAAATACAGGTAAATATATATTATATTATAATACCTACCTCTATAGATACAGGTAAATATATTATAATTATTTTTCTTGTCAACCGTACTAAGGGCGTATGGATCTATTTTTTGGAACTTTGATATATTATATTGTAATAGTAGTATATCTACAACTGTTAATACAGGTAAATATATATTATAATAGTTATGTACAGGCTACAGATACAGGTAAATATAATTATTTTTCTTGTCAACAGTACTAAGGGCGTATGGATCTATTTTTGGGAACTTTGATATAGAAAAAAATGTTTCTAAAAAGTAAAAGAGAGAGAAATGGGGTTTAACGTCCACTCGACACAAACTAGGTCATTTTGGGACTAACATATGGTTCAATTTTATTTCAATAATTCGCTTGCGCATAGGGGTCTTTAGCAGTGGGAGGAAACCGGAGGACCCGGAGAAAACCCACGAGGTTGGTTCTAAAAAGTAAAAGCACATAATGTAATATGAATGTATGTAAAGTGATTTATGTTTAATTTTTGAAGAAAAAAAAATTTGTAATTTCTAATCAATTATGCTCGGTGAAATGTGAACAGTTCGATCAAATTGGAGGGGCATTATAGGAGATTAGATAAAGAGCTGGCAGTTCTCACTATAATAGTTAAAAACTAGATTATGTAAAGGGAATTTGCTGAAAATTTAGCGATTGAATTTTGATTTCTTTACTCGATGAGACTTACTTCTCTTTGCAAACTTCCTTTGACTCGTTTAACTTACTCCATATGGTGAAACAACTTTCCTCACCCAAGGGGTAAATTGTACCGTTTGGCCTAAATGTTTTTGACCCCCCTCCCCCCTCATTTTATTCCAGCATAGTAATTTGACTGGATAATGCTTGTGAATGATGAACAACTCGTTAAACTATGTGGTGAGACGAATTTTGGAAGATAAAACGGGCATACACCATACAGTGTGCTATGAGGGAAATTTTGCCTGGGCAGCGGCACTCTCGCCTACTCTTATATCGAATTCCAACTGCCAAGGGATCTTTTTAGATTGTGAAAAATCAAAGACATGACTAGAAATGTCTTCATTGTCAGTTTGATTAAAAAATAAACAAGCCAACAGTGAGGCTGATGTCCCCCGCCGAAATAGGAAAATAATTAAAGAGTTATTGTGTTCCAAAGTCTCAGCAAATCAAATTGCTTATCGCTCTGCTTAATCTGAGCTGAAAATGCTCATTATCGATCTTAGTCAAGGTATTACTGTAATGAAACTATACACCAAGTTTCATCACTCTCACTTAATTAGAACTAAAGTTATAGTGTCCCAAAGCATCAACCAATCAAATTGTTTATCTCTGCTTACCCTAAGCGGAACGGACAGACAAACAGACAGACGGACGAACCCATTTTAATAGTTCCCGGCTTTCTTCGAAAGGCGGGGGACAATCAAAGTAGGAGAGTTATTGTTTTCCAAAGTCTCGACCAATCAAATTGCGTATCGCTCTGCTTACCCTGAGCAGAAAATGCTCATTATCAAACTTAGTCAAGGTATTACTGTAATGAAACTATACACCAAGTTTCATCAATCTCACTTAATTAGAACTAAAGTTATCGTGTCCCAAAGCATTAACCAATCAAATTGCTTATCTCTGCTTACCCTAAGCTGAAAATGCTCATCTTCGAACTCCATCAAGGCATTGACCTAATCAACACATACACCAAGTTTGAACATTCTAGCTCAATTAGGAAGAGAGTTATCGTGCCCCAAAGTATCAACCAATCAAATTGCTTATCTCTGCTTACCCTAAGCGGAAAATGCTCATCTTCGAACTCCATCAAGGCATTGACCTAATAAACACATACACCAAGTTTGAACATTCTAGCTCAATTAAAAGTTATCGTGTCCCAAAGCATCAACCAATCAAATTGCTTATCTCTGCTTACCCTAAGCGGAAAATGCTCATCTTCGAACTCCATCAAGGCATTGACCTAATCAACACATACACCAAGTTTGAACATTCTAGCCCAATTAGGAAGAGAGTTATCGTGTCCCAAAGCATCAACCAATCAAATTGCTTATCTCTGCTTACCCTAAGCGGAAAATGCTCATCTTCGAACTCCATCAAGGCATTGACCTAATAAACACATACACCAAGTTTGAACATTCTAGCTCAATTAGGAAGAGAGTTATTGTGTCCCAAAAAGTGTGACGGACAGACAGACGGACAGACAGAAGGACAGACAGACGGACAGACAGACAGACAGACAGACAGACGGACGAACCCATTTTAATAGTCCCCTGCTTTCTTCGAAAGGCGGGGGACAATAAAGACTAGATATCCGTTTCTACTTACACAAAGTCTACATTAAGAGTTATCCTATCATCCTTTTCTTTAGTTATAGTTTTATCTGTTTTCTCTTTCATAACTTCAACCAATGATTCAAGGAGTTGTATCTTGTCAGCTTGACTCTGTTTGTCTGATTGGTGATGAAGAATGTCTGACTTGAGTTTCTGTATCTCGTTAGCATGGCTCTGTATCTTATAAGCTTGGTTCTGTTTGTCTGATTGGAGTTTTTGTATCTTCTCAGCTTGATTCTGATTGTCCAACTTGAGTTGTTGTATCTCATTCTTCATTTTTTCAACATCTTCTTTTAGTTGGTTAGCCTGATGATTGTGTATTTTGTTGTGTTCACCTATTTGTACATTACAAGAGTGGTGGAAATTAAGACTCTGGTAGTTGACAGTCTGTTGAAGTGTCTGTAAACATAAAATATATTTTATTTAGCTTGTAGAAACGGTCAGTCACTATTTTGCTTGTATAAACGGTCAGGGATGGGCTGGGAAGGAGTCTGTAGTGTCAGTAGAAGTGGATAGGAGGACTTTTTTTTTTACCTTAAGGGCCGTTTTTAGTCTTGAATTGTTTAGTTTTTATGCGCCCTCATTGAAATGTGGTCGTATATTGTTGTCGCCCCCGTCTGTCCGGCCGCCCGTCAGTCCAGCATCCACAATTGTTTGAAATTTATACACAGTGGTTAAAGTCATGAGACAAAGAAGCCTATTGATCTTCAACGATTTCCGATAATTTCTTGATCACTAAGAAAAACCTTGGGGACGCTCTCGAGGCAAAAGTTATAATATCAGATTGACTTTAAATATATACATGTACACAGTGTTTAAGGTCATGAGACAAGGAAACCTATTGATTTTCAACGATTTCCTATAATTACTGCTAGAGTTATGGCCCTTGATCACTTTGAAAAATCTTGTGGACGCTCTAGAGGCTAAAGTTAATATCCGATTGACATTAAATTTATACACAGTGTTTACGGTCATCAGACGAAGTCTCCTTAAATGGCCCTTGATCACTTTGAAAAATCTTGTAGACGCTCTAGAGGCTAAAGTTAATATCCGATTGACATTAAATTTATACACAGTGTTTACGGTCATCAGACGAAGTCTCCTTAAATGGCCCTTGATCACTTTGAAAAATCTTGTGGACGCTCTCGAGGCTAAAGTTAATATCCGATTGACATTAAATTTATACACAGTGTTTACGGTCATCAGACGAAGTCTCCTTAAATGGCCCTTGATCACTTTGAAAAATCTTGACCATAGTTATCATCTGATTGATTTTATATTTATATGCCATGTTTACGTCTATATATAATCATTTCGATTGACTTTGGCTTGATACATAGGGTTTAAGGTCTTGAAACGAACAAGTATATTGCTTTTCAATGGTTTTTGATAATTTGACCAGCTAAAGCCATGATATTAAATGTTTTGTATACTAAACATTACCATGGGCCAAACAAATTCTAATGACTTTCTGATAATTACTTAACGAGTTGTTACCGTACTTTAAAATCAGATTTTGGTATATTATAAATGTTTCATTGCCAACAAAAGTAAAAATATGTGAAAATACTCTTGTTGAGTGCCAGGAAGATTTACATGTAGCTGTTGAGGGTGTATGTTTCATTGCCTGGCAACCTTTCATTGATGAATTGGAAATATTGCCACACGCAGAAAGCACCATTTACTGTCAGAGTGTGGGGACACTGTAATAAAGGTGGATGTAATGGGTTGAGTCGAGTGGTCTAACGCCATTAGACCACAAGGTCTTTCATTGAGTAAAATATTGGGTTTCAAACCCAGACGTGTGACAAGAAGTGGGGTGGCCTGTCTTACCGTGTGGGGTTCTATCCGTGTTGCTCCCTGTACGCCAAAATGAACTGTGGGATTTTTTCATAATGGTCTGGAATTCCTTCGTTTCTTCACAGGCATCGCTTCTAATCGTAAATATGCATGCACCATACCGAACTAGACAATAATAGGCCCTATTATATTTTCTTGTTGACTATGGTCTATGCATATATAGGCCTATACAGATAGAAGGTCAGATTCCTGTGGTTTCTTAATAGCTCGTTTGTTCGTGGGGCTTATCTGCTTTTACTATCCAGGATGATATTATGGTTATTATTTTTTTAATTTATAGGTCTTTGGCTGTCTTCATTAGCCCAGGTTAGGAGCAGAACAGTACGACGTTAAACTCCATTTCATTTCATTTTTATAGGTCTTTGGCTCATTCGTAAACATTTCTTATGACGAGAGTCCTGTTTAGTTTACTGTTTGTAAATCTCAAGTTATTGACGCGAGATTGTCGGGTTTACTTTATTCCCTCAATCTGTAGTGTTGAATTTCACAGACACATTTTGGTTCTACTCACCATATCAGACATCATAATGTTGTTATAGGAACAGATTTAATACACACAACTTTCTTCTACTCTGACCAACACAAAGGGTGAGACAAACGGGAATAAACAGTTAATATCTCCAGCAGGGAAATCCCCGTCTATTTGCGGCTGTGACCTGAGTGTAAAAACGTGTAGACAAGATTATACTAGTCTTGTATTTTGTGCTTACAAATTAATAACAGGACAGTCTAGTCTATTGTAACGTCAGCATAATATTATTAAATAATGGGAATACCCACAACAAACTTAACACTACCTCATATCCACTGTGATGTGCAATAGAGATTATAATGTTTTGGATGTACACATTCTGGTATTCTATGCAAATCGTACAGAAAAGTTTTTTTTTTTATTTGTACCGTACGATTCACTCGGCAAACCTCTGCTAGATGTAGAGTAACGGAATTAACCGAGGTTTGCCGAGTGACGTACGATCACAAAATAGATAAAGGTAGATAACTCCAATAAAAGATATCGGGATGCAGACAACTATTCTCAATTTCATAATGTTAATTCTGGCATGAAAAAGGGAGAGATGACCCGCCCTCGCTTCTCACGACAGCAATTTTATAAGTGTGCTTTATACAAGGACTTTGTATTTTGTGTGTTAACCACTTTTAAGGAGACTTTTGATATACACGGACGTTTGTATTGTATGTTTTTACCAATTTTCAACCCATTAAATGTAAATAATTATATTAAATCAACCTGTCCATAATATTATCATATCTAACGTATTGGACGTTAAATCTTTAATAAACAATAACAATATATTATTTTTCATTAAATTGAAATGTTTGGCCGTTATGAGCAAATCTTTTGGCCGTTAAAACCAAATTGTTTGGCCGTTATGACTAAAATAGGGTCGTTTTGACCAAACCTGTTTTTGGCCGTTATGGCATAGGGCCGTTATGACTACATCCCACCCGAATCGGTTCTTTTTCTTCTTCTCCTTCTTCTTCTTACCAGCACTTGCACCAAGTTTGCATTAAATAGCCTTATGTCACATATGTCCGCTTTACAGAACCACGACACGCCAAATCTTATAACTTCCGAGCGATAACCCTCAGAATCAATTAAAACTCAGAACTCGAACAAAATATAAACAATGAGTCGCAGCTGCCTCAGCCCGCGGCGAACTAACAATATTCGTACAAAGGAAAGCACCAAATCTTTTATCACCCAAACGGAACTCTCCAATAATTAGAAACCCATAACTCTAAAATATAAACAACATATATTTGGAATGCCCATCACCAAAAGACGAAACTGTACTCCGGAGATCTTGGTCGCCCCGAGCGGAGTAATTGATTACTCCTGCGGGACTTGCGAACCACCAAAGTCTCCCCTTGGAATGCTTACCACAGAGCGAAATAACTAATATTTCTGCTGAGGTCTGCACCCCCCACCCTTCGACTAAGACTGTCTGTGAAATGGCTTTATTTAACGTCCGCTTCCACCGAGACTGTGTGTGTGTTAGTTGTATTTTACGTCCGCTTCCACCGAGGTGATATCGCAGACAATAACATGTTATGTATACAAGGTGCAATAATTTACAATGTGATTAGTGAAAAAGGGGATAAATAGTTTTTTTTTATATATATATACAGAAGACAATAGATAACAGGACGAGACATGAGATAACAGGACGAGACAATAGATAACAGGACGAGACATGAGATAACAGGACGAGACATGAGATAACAGGTCGAGACATGAGATAACAGGTGCAAAGAATCAAAAAGTGCCAGTAGACGTTTACAAACAGACGAATTTGTGACAAAACAGACATGAATGTGGACGAACATTTGGACAAGGACAAACATTTGCAGACATGGACGCAATACGGACATTTGACAAAACAGACATAAATTTGTACAAACATTTAGACATAGTATGTACATGTACATACATATATATATATATATATATATACACACACAATATATACATATATATATATATATATATGTATATAGGCTAATGTGCTTAATATACTTAAAACACTCGAAAGAAATATATATTTTATGAAAATCAATTGAAAAAATAGCCCCAAATCTTTCAAACATAAGAAAAAGGCTGACTGCATTTAATTTAAGTATTTGGTACAGTGCGATGGAATTCACAATTTCTGGGATATATAAAATGATTTAATAGTCTTAATTTATATAGGCCTACTTTAACATCCTTCAAATACGAGAGAGAGAGATCCAACATCTCATTTTTGCAACTACTATCATAGGCGTACGGGCTCGATGACAGTTAGGGGGGGCAGAACCCGAAATGCCCGAAAAGAATTTGGGTTTACAGACAGCGACGCCGGTCTTCCTTGAGAGGCGAAGAAGCGGAGCTTACCTTGTATGGATCCCCCCCCCCCCAAGACAATTTTGGAATATTTGACGGCTGCAAACACGTTTTCCTCTATTTAAGCCGGCGAACAAAGCAACTCTAAAGTGGATAATATAGCCTAATTAAGATGGCTGACTCGAATTCCAATCCACGGAGACGGGACCGTTGGGAGAAAATTTTGAAAATTTAACTGCCGCAAACGCGTTTTTCTATTCCAGCCCGTGAATACAGCAACTTCAATTTGGTCCAATATAGACCTGGCTGACCCGAATTCCAAACAACCAATCAATCGTCGCGGGGCCCCACCCTCCCCGATAAAATTTTGAAAATTTAACCACCACAAATGTGTTTTCTGCTATTTTAGCCCGTGTAAGCAACTCCAAAAGTACCCAATGGTTTTGTAACCGAAATCCCATTCTGAACTCCAACCATCCAATCAGACTGTTGCTGCTGCATTCACAAATAATAATCGATGCCCGAAAAAATGTCGCACAAAGTAGAGTAGCTCCAGACAAAATGTTTTAATCCATAGTCAACTCAGTACAAATTCGTGGTATTCAATTAAAAGAAAAGTAAAATTAGTGTTTTATTAGGGCTCGATGACAGTTAGGGAAGCAAAACTAGAAATGCCCGAAAAAATTTCAGGTTTACAAACAGGAGCGCCGGTTTTCTTCGAGAGGTGAAGAAGCGGAGCTGACCTTGTATGGACCCCCCCCAAAAATTTTGGAATATTTGACAGACGCAAACGCGTTTTACTGCTATTCAAGCCCGTAAAACTAGTGTTTTATAGATTTCGGGTACTTTATTTTGCCAAGTAGATGAAATAATTTTTTTTTCACTTTACCCGTCTGCCCGAAAAGTCAGCTTGCCCGAAAGTTAGGCTGCCTCCCCCCTGGCTCGTACGCCTATGACTACTATACAGAGATAGAGAGAGCGAGAGAGAGAGAGAAGATCCAACATCCCATTTTCGCAACTACTATACAGCGAGCCTGTTTAGATTCTTTGTGATATAGGGCGATGAGTTTGCCTACTAGATATAAGATAATATTCATAATTTATATTAACATTCAAGTATGGAAATTAATTGAGAAAATTTATACAAAATATAAACATAAGAAACCGGTGTAGGAAGATCCAAACTCTCATTTTAATCACAACTAAACATAATATCCAGTGATTACGTTTCTAGTGTAAGGAAAGATTTGTAATATAAGAATCTTCAATGAAAAAAATGGAATTAAACAGTTAGAAGGTTTAATGGATCCATGTGATTTAAAGCGTCGACACATGGATCCAAAATTTTCACAGTCTACAACAGAATACAATAATAATAAATAATAATAATAATAGCTTTATTTCCAATCAAGGGTCCACAGGGGACATGGTACAGAGCAAACAAAGAGAGAAAACCCAAATGACAGTCAAGTAAGAAAATATAATAGTATACATAGCTCCCAACAGGGGAGATACACATATAAGTACCTTATGCACTAAGGCTTCATGCCGAAAAAAAAACGGCTCATGAGAACATTATTATCAATCATGAAAGGGAGATAAATCCACTTAACTCTTAATGTTACAGATCAATATGAAGCATTACAGAACAGCTGTAATCATCCGCAAAAAAAATAGTACCTAAAATTCATGTACATTATATAGGTTTAAACGTCAAATGAGGTCAAATGAATAGAGACGTCTTTAATATATACTAAATATTCGTATCATCCCAAATCGACAATAAAACAGTGAGAATAAGGAAAATCTAAGTAATGGCAATCTAATTAACATAAAATTTACGACATTTTAATGGATTCTTCAATGTTTTGATGGTGATCATGAAGAAAATAGGCCTACATCTGTTCTCAGGAATCCGATAAGATTTTCAAAAAAAAGATCAGTAGAATTATAGATTGTTATTCCACAAAGTCGAAAGGTATGTTAGATTTTTCATTCAGTCAAGTTAGGGCGAGTTTATTGCCGTACTTTGAGCTCCAAACCCGATAGAAATGAAGGCGGAAGTGGCCATAATAGTTTTAGAGATCACTACGTGATGGCGCTCCTGCGTCGCGACAAACGCGGCCGATTTGTCAAGGTAGTCTCGGTCACCCAGTCTCGTATAATATCTCTGTCATAGATGACTGCCTTAACACGTGCTGTCACAGCACGCGGTGTGAATCATTGGCTGAATGGCGCGTGCATTGTTTACATAAGACATAACTGCTTCGGAGAGAATGCTGCATTTTAGTCATTTTAATACCCATTTACACTAAATCGGAAATAATTTTTAACTACAAATACGTCAAACGCCTTTATTTATTTTTCCAATATATACAAAAAATGTTTTAGAATTTAATTTGTCGCAGGAAAAAAGTTAATATTTCTAGCTCATTAAGCCGCATCAATGTCATCCTTATCAGTGATTGTCGCGGCCAAGCAAATATTCACTGCGGATCAGTGTGCCCCCTCGTCTTCAATATTCGTAGAATATTTGTCTGGATAATAGAGACTGATATCAAGGCCGTATATCGAACTGTCAATCAAATTTACTGACATGCGGCCACGCTTAGTAGGCCCCATCATTTACCGGTCTAAACTGGTTTATAATTGTGGGTATTCCCAGTATTTAATAATATGCTGACGTAACAGTAGACTAGACTATCATGTTATTAACTTGTAACCACAAAACACAAGACCTGTATAATCTTGTCTACGGTGCTTAGATCATACTGCCTGTTGGACATTATGTTAAATATTTCTCGCCATTTCTGTTGATTAGACTAGAAGAAATTTGTAAATCTGTTACTATAACAACATTATGATGTCTGATACGGTGAGTAGAATTAACATGTCTGTGAAATTCCACAGACTGTAGGAACACTACGGTGGCTAATAAGGGACATGAAAAATAATATAATTTGTTTTTTTTAATATTCACCCAAGTCAATTTTAATATAATTTGTTTTTTATAATTTTCACCCAAGTCAATTTTAATATAATTTGGGGGGGGGGGGGTATAATTTTCACCCAAGTCAATTTTAATATAATTTGTTTTTTTTATAACAAAACAACGCCACTTGAATTATGATGCAATGCACACACAACTATTCCCCCCCCCACCCTTTTCAATTCTGAAAATTTAATGAAAGTCAGGATTTCTTCCCTTTGATTTAGAGATCTTGTGATAATTTCAGTCCATAAAGTATAAATCAAATGTAATTACAGGCCTCATATCTGGCTCTGATACGTTGACAGGCCTGCTTGTGTTCACGTAATATAAGTCATCATGTTATAATATCAAAAATCTTTATTACACTAGTAATGGCTAAAAAGGTGACTTTTCGTACAATCAGGGGGCATAATTCATGTAGTTTAAATCCGATACGTGCCAATATCGAAAGGAGATTAGATCTGCTGGAAATAAACCTATATTTCAAGTCTCGTCCAAATCGGATAAGAATTGTGACCTGTATAGTAGTGTCCACAAACAAATTCTGGATGGACGTCCGGACGGACGGGTGACGACAATATACGTCCACATGAAAATGTGGGCGTACAAAAATATCTCTTTGATATAAGGTAAAACATAATCTATTACAATCTGATACATGTAATTACAGAATGAGAACAATATCTCGTTAATATAAGATAAAACATAATATATTACATTGGAAACGAGGCTAATTTAGATGACATCACGCACTGGGTGGAAATTCAACAGAATTGAAATTATATTACAAATGACTTGGGTGGTAATTAAAATTGACTTGGATGAAAATTATAAAAAACAAATTATATTAAAATTGACTTGGGTGGAAATGAAAATTGACTTGGGTGAAAATAATAAAAAAACAAATTATATTATTTTTCATGTCCCTTATCAGCCACCGTACTACACAAACATCCCGATAATCTGGCGTCACTGAATTAAGATTTACACTACTATCAATACTCCGTCTTCAGAGTGTCTCGAGGTTTCGTCACACGTAACCTCAAGATTCCTCAAGTTGTATTTAGTTGAGGCGGACTCCGACTGAATTGTTGGCGCATCAAATAGCCACGAGCTGAAAGGCGTCAGTCGATAAATTCTAAATGCATGTCCTACCTTATTGTGTGACCCATCTCTGAACAACAATAACACTTACTGAAAAACAAAAGTTTTTTCAGTGAAACTGGTTTATCCAATATCACATTCACCAACATTTCTTTCAGTCGCCATGTTAGGATAGTTTGTTCCCCGTTTTACGTCATATCCTCCTCATTAAAATTTGAGGACCCCTGTTTTAAGCGAAACGAAGTGCATTTTTGTATAACATTTCTGTGGATTGCGTATGTACTGTTTTTGTAGAGATTTTATATCGGGATAGAAGACAATTTTTATTGAAGGAATAATTAGGTCGCTCTTCACACGTAGTTGAAAATACACAACGTCCATTGAGAACTTAATAATTATTTGTTTCATGATTAATTAGTAGGCCTAGATCATGACTAGTGCTTGAAATTAGGATTCTTCTACAACGGCACCAAAAATTTATAAATGGCGTAGCTGAAATTAGCTGACAAGACACCACTGCCTTTCTTCATAACACATACTGTTGTCATTTTCCGTCACGGAATGTGCAATTTTTATATTTGTAGATAGACAAACGGCTCGTGCAATTACTTTCTGTGTCAATTAATCTGGTTCTAATTGTGTTTGGTGGTACTACTACTACTACTACTTATAATAATAATAATAATAATAATATCGTCATTTAGAAAGCGCGTTAATACCGAAGAAAACAATAATAATATCGTCATTTAGAAAGCGCGTTAATACCGAAGAAAACAGTTTCTAAGGCGCTGTTGGTTTTTATATTCACTGATTATTTACAGATCACGGTTTTGAAATAAGAATGTTTTGAGTTGAGATTTAAAATGGCCCACAGACGGTGATTGTTTTATTGATTGTGGTAGTCTTTTTCATAGAAAAGGACCAGCATAAGAAAAGGCACGTTTTCCAAGTTGTAAGTTAATGGCTGGAGATTTTAGAAGATGTTTTTTCTGAGAACGGAGATTTCTCCTGGTAGTATAGGGTTCTACAAGACCTTTCATATAAGGTGGAGCTTGGTCGTTTAACGCTTTGAAGACGAAGAGGAGTAAATTCTTTGCTGAATTGGGAGCCAATGTAAAGATTGCAATACAGGGGAGATGTGTTGGTGTTTTGTAGCTAGTTTTAGTGTGGAGTCGAGCTGCTGAATTTTGAACATGCTGTAGTTTGTTAATCTGGCTGGTAAGCCGTATAGTAAACTATTTAATCTAGTTTAGTTGAGATGAATGCTTGAATGAGTTTTTCTTTATTTTCATATTTAAGATAGCGTTGGATCTTTCCAATTCGATGTATATGATAGAAGGCAGTGGAGCAAATACTTTGTATGTGATCTTTAAACGATAGGTTTGAGTCTAATATAGCACCAATATTTCGAGCTTTATGGGTTCCTGAAATTATTTCTTTATCAAAATTAACTAACTTTTGATCAATTTTTCGGAGTTTTTTGCTTGGTTCCAATTACTAGCAGTTCCGTTTTATTTGGATTTAATTTCAAGAAATGTTCTGTCATCCACGCAAGAATTTCTGTGAGACAAAGTTGCCAGATTTCACATTTCGCCAATGTAGGTCATTTCCTGTTTCACTGTGTGTTGTTGGTTGTAGGCAAAGATTTTTGTGAAATCTCTTAAAATAGACACCCAAAAAAGATTTTTCGGAACATAGATGGATATAATATGGAAGTGTAATGTGTTAGTGGTGCAGATAACTGAAAATTGTGAATTTTGCCGTCCGCTGAACGACGTAAACTAGTTGTCAACTTTTGCGACAAGGTTTTGACTGTTCGGATGTTACATGTTACGTCATCAGAATATCAAAGAGTAACATCTAACTTGTTGGATTATACTATCAAGTCACAATGATTATTTTATTTATAGTAACATACCTCTACCTGTTCCCGTGATCGTAGAGACTTGAAATTTACAGGGAATGTTCAGGGGGGGAGGGGCTAGCCATGACCTCACACCAAATTTTAGCCGAATCGGTCAATCATTTTTTATTTTGGTAATATTTCAGTAACGTACCTCTACCAGTTCCTGTGATCGTAGACTTGAAATTTTCAGGGGGTGTTCACGGGGACTAGCCATGACCTCACACCAAATTTTGACGCCATTTTGTTTGTTGACTATTTAGGCTCGAATGACGTCATATGGGGATTGTGGATTAGGATAAGGGTTAGGGTAAGGGCTAGGACCTGTAGATGTAGACAGGGCTAGCCCTAACCCTGTCTTGTTATTCGAGTCTAAATAGCCAACAAACAAAATAGCGTCAAAATCCGATAAACTTTCTCTCGTTACAAGCTAAACTACGGTAAAATAAAAAGTTATTGACAGATTCGGCTGAAATTTGGTGCGAGGTCATGGCTAGGCACCATGAACACCCCCTGAAAATTTCAAGTCTCTACGATCATGGGAACTGGTAGATGTACGTTACTGAAATAGTACCTTTAGCCGGTTGATTTGTTGGATATAAAACTTTGAATAATAGCGCCTAACAGGCAGCTGTGTTTAATTATGTTCTCCTGATTTTGAATGTTTCTGTGTGTTTGAAGTATATTTTTGTGATATGCGCTTAGAAACACTTCACGTGTAATGAAGCGCTATATAAATCGAACAATAATAATACCTTTAATTTACCGGCGCTATTGCACTTTCGTACCAATTTACCGTAGTTTAGCTTGTAACTTGAGAAAGTTTATCTGATTTTGACGCCATTTTGTTTGTTGACTATTTAGACTCGAATACCAAGACACTAAGACGGGTTCCAACATACTGGCTTCCTGCCTAACGCTGCAGATTGATTATAACAATAAATTTTGTATATTTTAATTTTTGTGCTAAGCCACCAATTTCTATAAACGACTATTTGGCGTTGACCAGTTGGATTGGCCTTTACGTGTAAATATCGCCGTGACGTTGACTTCAAATTTCCTATCGCGCTCGGAGCCTTTGCGTTTATGGATGCCATGGCTATATTTATTGCTGTATCATCGAAGTTAATGTTCGAGAAGAAAGCAGAGGCGATGCGCTTCAGAAAAGATAATTGCGTCAAAGTGGTGGGTCAAGGTCGCGTTACAGAAAACTAAACTCAAAATTTTCAAAATCCATTTTTGGATATTTGATCTTCAATTACGACCCGCTCTACGTAACCATTTTAAAAGGCCGCCACCTTGACTTGGACAATCAACCTTTACCTGGGTCCTGTCACACACTGCTTGGTCAGAAAACGGTCAAACTCAGAGGGACAGTGTTCGAAAGGAAGTCTTTGACCCAGAGTCCAGACTTCCCATCTAGCCCCTCTGCCTTTGCGTTTATGCGTGCCATGGCCCTTTTTATTGTTGTATTATCAAGGTTTCTGTTAGCGGCCCCCCCCCCCCCAAAAAAAAAATTGTTTTTCTGGGGCGGTCTGAATATTCTTGGACCCCTCCCCCGTTTTCGGCCGTCAAATCAAATTTTCCCAATTTTCTTTGGGGTGTGTGTCTCGTGGGGAGGGGGGGGGGTACCTACACGGTAAGCTCGGTTCTTTCGCCTCTCGCAGACAACCGGCACCGAATTCTGTAACCCTAAAGTTTTTCAGTCATTTTAGCCCCCGTCCACTAACATTCCGGGACTATGTATAAATAATGATATCTGATATTTCTAGATCTACCTTGCAGTAAGAGGACACCAGTGAAACACCCTTCATATATAAAAGGTTTCTAGTTATTAAAAAATTTAAAAGTCACGTCATCATCCAAATGTATAAATAAAGAATTACACCAACCATAGTATAAAATTTCACACATCGCCTTCTTTATATTATATATTATTACACGTATATTATTATTGGCATACTTATTCACCAAGGAAGTTACTCAAATATATATTTTATTTTTACACATGTGACGGCGTTAATGAGTATAAAAGGTCTTTAGGGGGCGGGGGTGGTTTCGGTAAGCTCTGCTCCTTCGCTTCTCGCAGAGGGACAGCCGGCACCGCCGTCTGTAACAGGAAATTGTTTCGGGTATTTCAGGTTCTGCCCCCCCCCCAACATTCATCGAGCTCGCACGCCTATGTTAATTTATCGAGTACATCCTGATGTTTCTTGCTTATGCATACTTTTAGCGTGTGGCAATTTTTCCAATTCATCATAAACTAAACAATTCGTGATTTAAAAAAGAGGCACATTCTCTGATTAGACACTTTTGGCAAGCGTAAATTTCCGGTCCGTATCGCGTATCCGTATCGACTTTGCGTGTGACGTCATCAATGTGTGTGTATTTCTCATACGTGATACGGCACACGCGTACGGCAGCCCGTATCGAACAGCTTTCATACGGAAAAGGTCCGTACAATATCTTCGTCCTTTTACCGTATTTTTGCTACTTTGATACTGAATATGTGCCATAGAGATTTTATGAATATATCCTAGAACACGGAGGTGTATATTTGATGTTATTTAACCATGATAAAGGCTGGAATTTAATCATTATTTTTGATGAGTTTTTCCGAAATTTTCATATTTTTCATGTCTGTCTGCATGCTGGTGGGTCAACGCGGTAAATTTAGGGAGGTGGGGCTTTACAAATCTGTTCATGGTGTGATTCTAAGGTGAAGGGGTATAAACTTTCTGAAATGATACGTTAGTGAAACCAAAAATTGTTGTCGTGTCGACGTCGAAGATTTTTTAATAAGATTCGACATTAATGTTTTTTTAGTAGCTCAGCGACTGTCGAACGACTTCACTCGCTCCAGTCATTTGTAGGCTAGGAACTTGACTAGTAATGATGGCATTCTTGGTAGATAACTGCCATCGTACTGTAATAGAATTAAGCTCAGCTCAGCTCAGCTCATCCAATATGGTGACTGACCGTGTATATACAAGCTAAATACAACATATATTATGTTTACAGTCACTTCAACAGATTGTCAATCACCAGAGTCATAATTTCCACGCTTGTAATGTACAAATAAGCCAGTACAACATACAAAATAATCTGACAAACCAACTAAAAGAAGATGTTGACATTATGAAGAGTGAAATACAACAACTCCAATCAGACAAACAGAGGCAGGCTGACGAGATACAGAGTCAAGCTGACAAGATACAGCAACTTGAGTCAAGGGTTAAAGTTGTGGAAAAAACAGGATTCAAGAAAACAGATAGAAATATACATAAAAAAAGGAATGATGTGATAACTCTTACACTAGATTGGCCGTAAGTAGATACCTGGTCTTTATTGACATATTATCAAACGGGTCTAGTCTTTGATCTGCCATGATGTGTATTGAAGATTGTAAATCACATTGATGTTGTTCAACTTATTTTATATTCTATATTCTCTTTAACTACTTAATATAATTATAATATATTTACCTGTATCTAGGTAGGTTTTATAATATATTATATATTTACCTGTATTTACAGTGGTTTGATTCCGACGGCTATACGTGTTAGTAGAGGTTCAACTATTAGACAAACAGAAGCGATAGCACAGAAGGAGTGTACAAGGAAGTATGGTACAGATAGTGATGTTGTTATTACTGCTATTTGCAGTAAAAAACAGGAGAAGTGTCGCTACCACTCTAACTACAACAAAGATCTGGCATTAGCAGATTATGGAGTAGAAGATTTGGATATAGTCAAGTGGTCCACCCGAAGTGCATTAGGTATTTAAATAAAGAGCTGGGCATACTCGCTATAATATTTTAAAAATAGACAAATGAATGTGTTGAGATTTTCAGTCAAATTATGAATGTTCTACGTTTTGTCAAGTATAGTCTTGAATATGATTGATGCGATAATAAACAAGGTATTGATTTTCTAAAGATGCATTATATTATTTTTTAAAAGAAAGAGCTGACCAATTAAAATTATACATAGTACACACTTACTATAAAATAATATTAAACATTATTATATTATGTAGAATATAAGTATTGTAGTGGTATAAATGATAAACTATTACTAACTATAAAGCTTTTATATGTAACTTGATTAATGAAATGAAATGAAATGAAATGGAGTTTAACGTCCTACTGTTCTGCTCCTAACCTGGGCTAATGAAGACGGGCATACGCCATACAGTGTGCTATGAGGGAAATTTGGCCCGGACAGCGGCACTACGGCCTACTCTTATATCGAATTCCAACTGTCAAGGGATCTTTTACGTGCACGCCATCCGAACGACTAGACACTGACAAGGGAGAACCACGCCGGAAAATCTGGATGAACTTTCTCGGCCAATGCAGGGATCGAACACCCGACCTCCAGGCTAGCGAGCTAGCGTCTTACCCACTTAGCCACGTGATCCCCAACTTGATTAATATTATTATACTATTATTATGGCGTACAGAGTGACGATATAGACTAATGACAGATTTATTATATAATTATAAAGACTGTGAATATAATATCATCATCATATCATATTGTAGTATTTTATGAGAATAATACATGGACCGTATTATATTCTAGTGGTTATACGTGCATGTGTGCATGAGAGAGTGGAGGTCAACAAGAGAGCATGTATATGACGTCACCATGTAACTGATCACAAAGTCCTATATAGGGAAAGTTACGACAACTCATTTCCAGGCGCCATTTTGGGTCCCAACTACTTTAGTTAACAAAACGTTTATTTACTTCTTGCAGCATTATAGGTGCGGTCTTCAGGAATTTTCAAAGAGCGATATCTCGTAATCGGCGTGTTTTAGTGGTGTGAGGATAAATCATTTCTTTTTAGATTCATCAAACACAGAGTGGTTATGCAAGCGAAATGTGCCGAAAAATCGAATGTGGGAAACATCAATTAAAACAATGCATTTTTCATATGGTGCCGGGAATTTCTTTCACAATGGCTGCCAAATTTGGTAATATAATGCCATTTAAAAAAAACCATAGATTTGGTAATAAAAGGGCAACTATAATCTCGATAACGTTTGCTGTCTCTTTTATATGGTTTTCGATGTCTGTGAATTTCAAGATAAATTTCGAAAATCCAAAATGACAGCAACACAAATCAACAGATGTTAATTAAATCGTCCTTTTACCTATTACTTGTAACATGTCATTTACACGGTTTTCGATGTCGCCGGCTTCAATACTGATCTTCAAAATGAATCCCTGATGGTAGAAATTCAAAATGACCAGCAAAACGTAATCCAAAAAATGCGGAATTTGATTAATATGTCTTATATATGTGATTTGGGGTTGTTGGGTTCAACTCTGATCTCAAAAATAAATTTCGAGAATTCTTGCTTGTAGAATTTCAAAATGGCCGTCAAAAAGAAATCTAACTTGGTGGACTTTTAATTAACCGTCATTTTTTTCCGTTGGATATGACTTGTTATATGTCTTATATATGGGTTTTGTGGTTGTTATGGTTCAATCTCTATCTGAAAAAAAAAGTAATTCAGAATAGTCCAGATGGTGTAAAATAGAAACCAAAATAAGGATTTTTGAGGTAACAGAATTCAATATTCGGTTTCAAAACTTAATTTCAGATAGGACTGTCACACACCAAATTTGTGCATAAGCTATAAGCTAGAAACATCCGGATAAATTACAGAAATCATTTTTATGGTCATTTTTATAAAAGCAAGGTGATAACCCCACTGGACCCCCAATAGAGTGGGAAACCCTCGTGAGGCGACTTTCAGGGACTCTCGCCCCCCTACCCCGCCCCCCTTAGTGTCCATTGCGTGTGAAACACTGTACTACTGTGGCAATCACAAGCGCCTGTCGTGAAATGAATAACAGACAGGAATGAACCCGTGGTAACTATCGGTCTTGATATTACAAGGGACGGGCCGGAGTTTAGAGTCTTCAAACCATGATGTATCCTATAGTTCGGATATTGTCTCTAAGCCACGATTTACCATGTAGTTTATATTAAGTCTCTAAACCATGATGCCTCCCGTAGTTTTGTAAATGGGAGGTCGATCGTCAGATGAATGTGAATTGTACGATATGTTAATCCCGAAATGACATAGTTTCTCTTAAATGAATATATTGTTAACACGCTTTAAATATCTGGATGTAATAGACTTCGTGTAGAAAATTCTAGGTACATTACATTTTGGCAATAGGAGGGATTTCTTGTTATGGCTTGTTGGTGGTATAGAATGTGGTTCATTGTCTTTATTATAATCACAATGTTACACAATAAATTACCGCCCCCCTCCCAACTACTGAGTATTGAATTTAATAATATCTTAGTTTATATTATTTCTTTGAATCTGCCTGGGAGGTATGTGAAACCGTATGCCATCTCAAATAAATTAATATAATTATTTCTACAAAGATGCAATAATAGTTTATATTTTATAGTTTAACCGCCCATATATGTTTTAATGACAGTAAATCATATACTTTATTCAGCTCGACGTAAGACGTAAAATATATAGACACAGTTGGTTTAACTTGAATGTAGATATTAACCTCCTATGTTGCATATATATCACCTTTCCGTTGAATCATATATCATTTGTTGATGTCCATATCGTCTTACGTATTTGTCACCATCACGGTGAGCTTGTTCTATTGTTCCATTAGTCTATTCAGTACTAAAATGTCATTTTTCCAATAAGACTAGCGTTAATCTTGTAAGATGTGACTTTTACAATGGATTTCGATGTCTCTGAATTAAAGGTCACCGTCGAGTGCCGAAGTCGTGAAACACGCCGTCTCCCCCAGAGATATTTTAAAATTTTTAGCCGGAATACGCGGTTTATTGCTACGTTGTTCAGGGCGTAAATACAGCAACCTGAAAGTGGTTCATTGTAATGAAGACATCTGAACTCCAATCAACAAATCAACCAATCAGGCTATTGTCGTTGCATTCAATCTGCTCGCAGCACAGAGGCGGCTCTACTTAAAATTAAAAAACGATATTGACCTGGTGTTAGATAGGAATCTAGCTGTGCACCCAGCGTTTTGAGCAGACGCTATATAAAACCTTATTATTATTATTATTATTATTATTATTATTATTAATAACTCAGTGCTGCTTTTGATACTATAGATCATAGCATTCAATTTCAAAAGCTGGAATATTCAGTTGGGATCTGTGGTGCCGCACAGTCATGGATAAAGTCATATCTTCAAGATAGAACACAACAGGTGCAATTAAACAGGTCTGTGTCTCAACCCTGTGCTGTTACAATTGGTGTTCCACACGGATCTGTATTAGGACTTCTACTTTTTCTCTTATTTATATTTCCATTTGGTCAAATCATAATAAGACATGGGGTACAAAACCACGCCTTTGCTGATGACACCCAAATATATGACTATACTTTCAGCACAACAACTATCTTGGTCCCAAGGATTCTATAACTAGACTATTAGAGTCTTGTCTTAATTACATTCGAGAATGGATGAACAGAAATAGACTAAAACTTGACGGTGACAAATCTGAATTTCGGTGATTGCTCTATATCTCCCAAGAAGCAGGCTAAACATCTTGGCTATGTAACCGACGAATTTATGTCCCCATTTTCCCAAATCAATAGTATCATACGGAAAATGCATCTTCAAATGAGAACTATTTCGAGAACACGCTCTAATGTTAATATTAATGCTTGCCAGAGTGTTGTTAGAGCATTAGTAACGTCGCATATGGACTATGCAAATTCACTTCGATTAGGAACATCAGAAACAGCATTAAACAGACTACAAATAGCGCAAAACAATGCTGCACGTCTCATGACTAGGGCGTGAAATTGGATCATATCAGCTAAGTTACAGAAACTCCAATGGCGTCCAGTTCGAGCGAGGGTTCAATTTAAAGCTCTTGTGAATGGGTTCAAATCAATTTATTCTGACACTGCACCCAGTTATTTAAAAAAAAAAACTCTTTGATTTCCATACTCCCCGGAGATTCAACCTTCGTCCGCCAAGTGGTCGTAGCATATAGAGGATTCCTAAATATAATAAACGTTTTGGTGAATATGCTTTCTCCGTTAGAGCAGCTAAATTGTGGAATGATCTTCAAAATCTCTTGGGGGGTCCTCTTCCACCCAGAGCTTTAAGACTACATATTTATTTCAAGAATGTTTTTGAACTGTTTTGTTGTGAATGCACTTAGAAAGACCTGTATGTAATGAAGCGCTATATAAATATAATAATAATAATATTAATAATTCACATAACACCAGAAATTTCACTGTTAAAACAAATATGCCCGAAACAAATGTCGCGCTTAGAGCAGAGTGGTGCTACAGACCTTTCATTTGAATTACATTGATTTTACATGTTTTATCCATTAGTAAATTTATAGAAATTTCGATTCCCAAATTATTGATGATATAATTAATGATCGATGACCGAAAACTGTCACACAATCCGGAATGGCCCCAGACCAAAACGTCGTGGAATTTCGAGCCGGCTAGAAGGCAAAAGCGTTTTTTCCTCCACAAAATATTTTTTTTTTCCCTTTACCCGTCTGCACAAAAAATCTGATTTTTAAAAGCCTATGCAAGTTAAATATCTTTAATAGCGCTTTTATCTGGTGTATCTTTTATTTCATTTTCTTATGAATTAAACTATATTCTTATAATAATAATGTGAGCTTTTTGTTGTATAATAATATTAAAGATACGTTATGGGGGATTCGATAACGAGTTGGCAGTTCTCACCGTAATAGTTAACCAGCGGCTGCCAGGCAGGATACGCCCACATTTTCGAGAGATGGATAGAGAACAAGCTAACAAGAAAGTGATTTTTCCTACAATCAAGGGCCATAATTCAGGAAATTACAATTCGATATGCGCGAATATCGAAAGGAACTGAGATCTTTGTGTTATAAACTTACATTTAAAGTTTCAACAAAATCGGATAAAAAAAACTGTGATCTCTATAGGCTCCACAACCTTGATATACCATATAACGGTGATATAACGGTGATATAATACTACGGTTTTTTTTAAATCGGATAAAAATTATGACCTCTATAGGGTCCACAAGCTAAAAACGCGATTTTTCGTAGAATCAGGGGCCATAATTCAGGAAGTTACGGTCCGATATGTGCGAATATCGAAAGGGACCGAGATCTTTGGGTTATAAACTTACATTTCGAGTTTCAACAAAATCTGATAAAAAATTGTGACCTCTATAGGGTCCACAACCTTGATATAACATATTCTTACACTATTTGAGAACGAACGGCGGCCATTTTGTCTGTCAATTTTGGGCCGATTTTCACGAAATTCGAACTCAGTTGACCTCAGGGTGTAACGGTGATATAATAATACGTTTTTGTTTAATCGGATAAAAATTATGACTTCTATAGGGTCCACGAGCTAAAAACTTACATTTCAAGTTTCAACAAAATCGGATAAAAATTGTGACCTCTATAGGGTCCACAACCTTGATATACCATATTTTTACGCTATTTGAGAACGAACGGCGGCCATTTTGTCCGTCAATTTTGGGCCGATTTTCACGAAATTCGAACTCATTTGTCCTTAGGGTGTAACGGTGATATAATAATACGGTTTTTTAAATAGGATAAAAATTATGACCTCTATAGGGTCCACAAGCTAAAAACGCGATTTTTCGTAGAATCAGGGGCCGTAATTCAACAAAATCGCGGATAAAAATTGTGACCTCTATAGGGTCCACAAGCTAAAAACGTGATTTTTCGTACAAACAGGGGCCATAATACATGAAGTTTCGATCCGATACATGCCAATATCGACAGCAGTCGAGATCTTTTGGAGATAAACCTATATTTCAAGTTTCGTCAAAATCGGATAAGAATTGTGACCTGTAGAGTGTCCACAAACAATTGTGGACGGACGGACGTCCAGACGTCTGGACGGACAGGGGCGACGACAATATACGTCCAGTCCATGAAGTTTCGATCCGATACATGCCAATATCGATAGCAGTCGAGATCTTTTGGAGATAAACCTATATTTCAAGTTTCGTCAAAATCGGATAAGAATTGTGACCTGTAGAGTGTCCACAAACAATTGTGGACGGACGGACGTCCGGATGTCTGGACGGACAGGGGCGACGACAATATACTTCCACATGAAAATGTGGGCGTATAAAAACTAGATGATGTAAAGGCAATTTGCTGAAAATTTCATTCAAATTGACCCACTATGAACTGACAACTAAGCGTTTGAAATTTCCGCCTAGCCTCTATCATTATTACGATAAACAGCATAGTCTCGATTATCCATTTAATCGTTAAATCGTGAAGGAAATTTGTGCAGTAAATCGGCTCATAAACCACTTAAGATCGCAGGCTAGCGATGCCATCTAGAGTTGATTATGGTCTGGATAGGTTAATTAATGTCTAATTAATAGTTTAGATAACATTTCAGGCGTAAAGAAAGACCTGCAATAGACAGATTTAGCTCTTGCATAATGTATGTTTGATAGTATGTTCCGCTATTCTTTTCGTTTAAAAAATGTATGTTTTATCTCCTATATACTCTTCGCGGAAATCTATGACATACCTATCTACACCCCCGTATGTTGAGATAGTCAACTGCGACACGATAAAATAATGTAGCATATATTATAAATAGACAATCTGTTTCGCAATAACTCTGTAAAAGATGACTGCTTTGAGTTTGTGACGTCACATCACGGGGAGTCAATCATTGACTTAAAGCTGAACTCCGGTTACAAAAATACCGAAATAATTAAATAAAAATAAGTTAACGCCCCCAAGCCGCCATACTTGTTTCCAATTTGTGAAATAAATATGGCGGACATGGAGGCTTATGACGTGGAAAGGTTAGCCGATCTCACTTCCTGTTTGTTTCTTGTCAGCCAGCTGTACACATCCGGTGTTATTCTTAACACACGCTTCGTTGATTGCTGTATTTTTCCCAACAGTATACCAAATTATTGAAGATTGCAAAATGTCTGATCAGGTAAGCCTGTAAATAATTATATGAACTGCGTCTACTACAATATAGCTTTAATGGTGTTTACTTAGACGTTGCTCATTTTACATCACTATTTGCACTAAATAGAAAATATTTTTTACCTATATATACTTCAAACACCTTTATTTTTCTTATGCTTAAAACAATGTTTTAGAATTTAAATTGCAGAAGGAAAAAGTTAATATTGGGGGTTCATTAAGCCGTATCGATTTCATCCCTATCAGTGACTGTAGCGGCCTGGTGAATATTTGTTGCTAACGAAGCCTAACCCTTACCCTAACCCACAATTCATATAATATGACGTCATATGGGCTAGACCGTCTCCGATCCAGCGTGCTCTCCTTACTGTAGAATACAAGTTTAGCACTCCCTATTTACGAGTTGTGTTGTATTTACGATAGTATTGAAACCAGCCAATTCTGTACAGAGCTCTGGAAAACTGTCTACTGTCCGTGAAAGACACAAATAAATACGACACCCAGTACATGCAACATATTCTGAAGATAGTAAGAGACAAAATTAAAAAAAGGTTCAACTAAGTCCAACTGGGCGAATAAAGATGAGCACATGCCATACAGTGTGCTATGAGGGAATTTTCCCCAGACAGCAGCGCAACGGCCTACTATTACATTGGCAGAAATTCAAACTGCCAAGGGATCTTTGAAATGCACACCTATGTATACACGGGAGCTCAGTTTTTTGTACCGTCCTAACAACTATACGTTGACCCATGTCAGGACCTCTGTCCTTCACCACTTACAAGAGGGAACCAGGCTAAAAAATCCCGATGAACGTTCACGACCAACACAGAGGACCTCCAGGTTAGTGAGCCAACGTGACGTCTGAGTCACTGAGCCATCATGGCTCTAGTAACAGAGACTAACCTTTTCACCTCGGTGGAAACGTTTTCACCTCGGTGAAAACCTTCTCACCTCGGTGGAAACCTTCTCACCTCGGTGGAAACCTTTTCACCTAGGTGATAACCCTTTCACCTAGGTGGAAACTCACGTGTTACTAATAAGTCTCGTTTTCATGCGTACATACAGGGCGGTTCCAAAAAAGAGCGCAAATTAACTTCACAGAAAGTGACCACGAGTATGACAACTAACTCATTCAGCAAAAGTGACGGATGCTGCCCGAAAACGAACGATATTTGAAATAAAAAAAAACTTAAAACAATTTGATAGGGGGTCAAATATTATGCCAACATACTGATGTCACCCCCCCCCCCACCCCATTGTAGAAATCTGACCCCCTATATCTCGAAAACGCCCCCTCAAACGCCTGATCACAACCCAGCCTCGGAATCTTCGCAAAAAATTGGTCTAGAAAAAATTTGTCTCATAAATTCACAGCTCGGGTGGCGATCCCCCCCACCCCCTTTCAGCCACCGGACTAGGAGAAAACGAACGAGGGGAGACAAGCCAGATGCTAGATACAATTTAGTCCAGTAAAATATATAAAGACAACTCGAAAAACATCAGATTGTAATCCATTTGAAAATCAAAAAATTAGGTTAACATGGCGAATCCATGTACGGACAAAAGCATTTAGGACACCTATCGTGCATTTTACTGAATTTTGAGAATTATTTATATAAAGTCATATATTTCTTTCTGCCTTTTTTTATTCCGTCATCAATTACACGTTTATGTTTATCATAAAATACTAAAATATGCTATGATGATATTATATTCACAGTCTTTATAATTATATAATAAATCTGTCATTTAAACTACTATTAGGGCTATGATCGTTATTATTATATTATTATTATGGCTGTATATATATATATAGTGATTCACTATATATGAAATGAAATGAAATGGGGTTTACCGTCCTACTGTTCTGCTCCTAACCTGGGCTAATGAAGACGGGCATACGCCATACAGTGTGCTATGAGGGAAATTTTGCCCGGACAGCGGCACTACGGCCTACTCTTATATCGAATTCCAACTGCCAAGGGATCTTTTACGTGCACGCCAAAGTGTACACGGGACCTCGGTTTTTCGTCCCATCCGAACGACTAGACAGCTTTTCTTGTCAGGCCCTCCGTCCTTCATCACTGACAAGGGAGAACCACGCCGGAAAATCTGGATGAACTTTCTCGGCCAATGCAGGGATCGAACACCCGACCTCCAGGCTAGCGAGCTAGCGTCTTACCCACTTAGCCACGTGATTCCCTTCACTATATATATATACAGCCATAATAATAATATAAGAATAATGATCAAGCTTTATAGTTAGTACAATTCAATATAGCACCACAATACTTATATTCTACATAATATAATAATCTTTAATATTGTTTTATAGTAAATACTATATAATTATAATACTATTAACTCAATATAATCAAACAGACTAGAATCGAAATCTGACTTTATCACCATCACCTACACCATGATGTGATAAAGGTAGATCATTGTTGTTGATGTTACAGAGGTAGATGATCTTCTCCTGTTTTACACTGTAGATATTACAAATACAACAAACACCATCTGTACCATACTTCCTTCTATACTCCTCCTGTATTATAGATTCTAGTTCACTTATAGTTTTATCTCTACTAACACTTATAGCCATCATATAATACTCACTACCGCAAATACTGTAAATACTGTAAATACAGGTAAATATATATATTATAATACCTACCTCTATAAATACAGGTAAATATATTATAATTATGTTTCTTGTCAACCGTATTAATTAGTTAAAGAGAATATAGAATATAAAATAAGCTGAACAACTTCAAGGTGATTTACAATCTTCAATACATATCATGGCGGATCCAAGACTAGCTTAGAAATGTTTTAATTTTAGTTTGAGTAACAAGTCAATAAAGATCAGGTATCTACTTACATATTTCTTACATTAAGAGTTATCATATCATCCTCTGCTTTATTTATTTTTTTATTTACTTTCTTGACTCCTGTTTTATCTTCCACAACTTTAACCCTTGACTCAAGTTGTTGTATTTTGTCAGCTTGATTCTGTTTGTCTGATTGGAGTTTCTGTATCTTATCAGCTTGATTCTGATTGTCCAACTTGAGTTGTTGTATCTCATTCTTCATCCTGTCAACATCTTCTTTCAGTTGGTTAGTCGGATTATTTTGTATGTTGTGTTCACCTATTTGTACATTACAAGGGAGGTGGAAATTAAGACTCTGGTGATTGACAATCTGTTGAAGTGACTGTAAACATAATAATTTAGCTTGTATATACAGGGTCAGTCAGCATAGTGGATGTCTACACAATCAGAGAAGGAGTCTCTACGTACGACAAAAGATGAAATGAAATGAAATGGGCTTTAAAGTCCTACTGTTCTGCTCCTAACCTGGGCTAATGAAGACGGGCATACGCCATACAGTGTGCTATGAGGGAAATTTTGCCCGGGCAGCGGCGCTACGGCCTACTCTTATATCGAATTCCAACTGCCAAGGGATCTTTTACATGCACGCCAATATGTACACGGAACCTCGGTGTTTCGTCCCATCCGAACGACTAGACAGCTGTCCTTGTCAGGAGCTGCGTCAAGCATCACTGACAAGGGGAAACCATGCCGGAAAAGCTGGATGAAATTTCTCGACCAATGCAGGGATCGAACATCCGACCTCCAGGCTAACGAGCCAGCGTCTTACCCACTTAGCCACGTGATCCCCACGTACGACCGGATGTAGACAGGGACTTTTTCTTTTACTTTGGGGCCGTTTTAATTACGAATAGTTTTTGATAAATTGGAAAAATTGCCACCCGCCAATCTGATTAAAATACAGATCTATATTTTGTTTCAGCCGATAGCGGAGGGATAGAGAAATGGGTTTAACGTCCACTCGACACAAACTAGGTCATTTCGGGACTAGCATATGGTTAAATTTAATTTCAATAATTGGCTTGTGCGTATGGGTCTTTAGTAGTGAGGGGGGGGGGGACTTGAGAATCTAGTGAAGCCTTGAAGCCAGAAAGCACCATTTACAGTCAGTGTGGGGACCCAGTAATAAAGGTAGGTGTGGTCACATGGGTTGTTTGCAGGGTGAGTCGAGTGATCTAACACCTGTTGACCAAAACGTCTGTCATTGAGTAAAGTGTACTGGACTCGAAATGAGGTCGTATCCTAACCTCGTGGGGTTTCTCTAGGTTTTATCCGGGTTGCTTCCGGTGATAAAGACTTTGATAAAGATTAATTTCTATATATTGTATGGAAACAATATAACTTGTTTTGTATTGGGGGAGGGGGAGGGGGATGGCCGAATGGTTAGCATGCGCGCGCTGTATCATAAGGCCTGTCATTGAGTCAACTGGCGTGGTTTCGAATCCCCGGTTGTACGTGACAAGAAGTAGGGTCGCCTGTCCAACCTCGTGGGTTTTCTCCGGGTCCCCCGGTTTCCTCCCAATGCTAAAGACCCCCACGCGCAAGCAAATTATTGAAATAAAATTTAAAAAACATATGTTAGTCCCGAAATGACCTAGTTTGTGTCGAGTGGACGTTAATCCCCATTTCTCTCTCTGTTTTGTATTGAGTCAGACTTCTTCGGTTGTTTGTTCGTGAGACGTCTGCTTTTAATACAGATGGTGGTGTAGCAGACGCCGAATGGACTTTATTTCCTAGATAACAAACCTTATCTCTCAACCCTCCGTGTTTCACATCAGTATATCTCAGCGTTTTTAGTTACGTTCTCGTAGCTATTTATTTCCATTTTCAATAATTTCCATATATTTATAGGTCTTTGTCCCATCCGTAAGCATTTCTTATAGCTGGATTGAGTCATTTGTAAAGAGTGTCGGGTTTGCTGTAGAAATAGTTCCACTACGATGTTTCCAACTTGCCCCCGGGCACAGTAGGGGATGGTTCTAAGGACTTAATTGATGCAAGTTTTGTAAAACAGTTACGGGATAACTCCTGTACTGTCCTATCAATAATTGTAGTGTATCCTTACAATCTTTTGAATTTCACAGATATGTTAATTCTACTTACCATATCAGACATCGTGGTGTTGTTATAGTAACAGATTTACAAATTGCTTCTGCTCTGATCAACAAAAATGGCGAGACAAAATGAAAGGAAATATTTAACAAAATGTCCAACAGGGAAATCCCCGTCTATTTGCGGCTATGATCTAAGCGTTATAGACTAGATTCTACGGGTCTTGTGTTTAATAGTTGCAAGATAATAACATGATAGTCTAGTCTACTGTTACGTCAGCATATTATTAAATACTGGGAATACCCACTGCTATAAACTTGGTAAATGTTTTATTAGTATGATGATAAAGTTAAAGGTAGACAACTCCAATTAAAGACAATCGGAAGCAGACCACCATTACTTTCCCAGGTTGTGGGTTGAGGTGGGTGGGGTATTTACGATGATTCTGCCATTTTACAATTTTAAACTAATGATATATTTTCCTATAACCTCCGACGGTCCTTGTGTCTACAATCCAGACCCATGATTTGATTAACATGGGTGAAGTGACTGAATAGTACAGGTGTTACGCTGGGATTCGCAGGTATGACATCTAGTTAGAGAAATGAAATAGTGTTTAACGTCGACACTCGAAACAAAATATGTTACATGTCAACACTGACATATAACAATGGTATGGCATGGTATTAGAACCAGAGTACTGGATAGATAACATGCTATTAGAAACAGGGCACAGGATAGATGGCATGTTATCAGAACAAGAGAACTGGATAGATGGCATGTTATTGAAACCATGGCACAGGATAGATGACATGTTATTAGAACAAGCCATTTAGAGCTCTGGATAGATATCATTTAGTTGATCTGTGTGTCGTAATATAAAAATATGATATTTGTTTTCTTGTTAAAAGAATTGTTCAAGTAAAATGTTCTTAGTAATCTTTTGTCTCAAGAGGACAAGACAGAGTAGAATCTGAAACCAGCGAATTCTGGCATGTTTCAATCCCAGGTCAGGAAAACTGTCTACTGCAGGTGATTAAAGCCACAAACAAATGCGATACCCATGACAACATATCCTGAAGACAGTAACACAGACAAAATGGAATTGGGTTTAACATCCTACTGTTTGGCCTCGACTATGCTAATAAAGATGGGCATACACAGTGTGTAATGAGGGAATTTTTGCCTGGACAGTGGCGCTAGCTACAGCCTACTATTATATCAAATTTCAACTTCCAAGGGATCTTTTATGTGCACACCTATCTGTATCCGGGACCTCAGTTTTTTTCGTCCCATCCTAACAACTAAACGTTGTCCCATGCCATGCCCATTTTCCTGCTCCACTGACACGGGGGAACCATACCGGAAAATCCCGATCAACTTTCTCGGCCAACACAGGCAGGGAATGAACAGTGGACCTCCAGGTTATTTAGCCAACGTCTTACTCACTGAGTCACCATGGCTCCAGTAACAGAGACACCTATCAACACAGTATAATTGCCTATGAGGCAGTTAGTATCACGCACTGACAGTAAAAGATGAAAGCATCTTTATATTGGGCATTTCTATTTTTATGTTTATGTAAACAATGCGAAGTAAGGATAATAATTGTGCACGGAATTTCCGTGAACAATTCTTCGATTTTCAACTGCCAAGGGATCTTTTATGTGCACCCCAACGTGCACCCGCTACCACTGACAAGTGAAGGGGGGGGTTTGAAAAATTCTGAAGGTGTCGCTCCACATGACCACCACAACCCCACTTTTTATTCAAAGCTTTTAACTATCTCCAAAGAGCAGAACACATTTTACGGTTTTATTTTTTTATATTTAAATTCAACTAAGATAGTAATTTGAACCGTGACAGAACAGCAAGGGATCTGTATTTTATCTTCTAGTATTTATCAGACAATATTTATGGGTACACCCTTCTCCTCCAGCCCCCAGGCCCCTCAGTCCTGCAAAAAGTTTCGCCCCCCCCCCCTCCCTGTGAAAAAATTGTCGACGATAGATATATTTTACAGCACCCCCGAGACTCGTTGCTCTGAGCTAATTACGGCCCTGTCGCCCCCTCACCCCAGAAACACACTGGACACATTACTTGAAGACATTAGATATATATATATATATATATATATACAAATTTATTACTCCAGGGTAAAACTGTACTTAAATTGATTGTTTAACATTTAATTGAGAGAGAGACACACATACACACAAACTAGGTCATTTCATGACTAACATATGATTCAATTTTCATCCACTAATTTGCTTGTGCGTAGGGGTCTTTAGGAGGGCCTGGAGAAAACCCATGAAGCTTAATAAGTTGAAGTGTGGGGGTCGCTAAGCTACGGCACTTGACTCACTTAGAGAGAGAGAGAGAGAGAGAGAGAGAGAGGAGGGGGTAACATCCACAGTACACTGATACAAGTTTATTTATTGTCTGCCTAGGAGCTACCCAGGATAAAACGAACGAAGTTAGACAAGCCAGATGTTTGATAAAATTTAGTCCAGTAAAATATATTAAAACAACTCGAAAAACATCAGATTGTAATCGATTTGAAAATCAAAAAATTAGGTTAACATGGCAAATCAATGTACGGACAAAATCATTTAGGGCATCCATCGTGCATTTGACTGAATTTTGAGAATTATTTATACAAAGTCAAATATTTTCTTTCTGCTTTTTTTTTTATTCCGTCATCAATTACATGGTGACGTCATACCTGCTCTCTTGTTGTCTCCCACTTCCCCATGCACACATATAAACACTACAATATAATACGGTTCATGTATTCATTATGTTTGTCATAAAACACTACAATATAATACGGTTCATGTATTATATAATACGGTTCATGTATTCATTATGTTTGTCATAAAACACTACAATATAATACGGTTCATGTATTCATTATGTTTGTCATAAAACACTACAATATAATACGATTCGTGTATTCATTATGTTTGTCATAAAACACTACAATATAATACGGTTCATGTATTCATTATGTTTGTCATAAAACACTACAATATAATACGGTTCATGTATTCATTATGTTTGTCATAAAACACTACAATATAATACGGTTCATGTATTCATTATGTTTGTCATAAAACACTACAATATAATACGGTTCATGTATTCATTATGTTTGTCATAAAACACTACAATATAATACGGTTCATGTATTCATTATGTTTGTCATAAAACACTACAATATAATACGGTTCATGTATTCATTATGTTTGTCATAAAACACCACAATATAATACGGTTCATGTATTCATTATGTTTGTCATAAAACACTACAATATAATACGGTTCATGTGTTCATTATGTTTGTCATAAAACACTACAATATAATACGGTTCATGTATTCATTATGTTTGTCATAAAACACTACAATATAATACGGTTCATGTATTCATTATGTTTGTCATAAAACACTACAATATAATACGGTTCATGTGTTCATTATGTTTGTCATAAAACACTACAATATAATACGGTTCATGTGTTCATTATGTTTGTTATAAAACACTACAATATGATATGATGATGACATATTATATTCACAGTCTTTATAATAAATCTGTCATTTATACCACCACTAGGTCTATATCATATATACAGCCATAATTAGTACAATAATAATGATCAAGTTACATGTAAAAAGCTTTATAGTTAGTATGTGTAATTCAATACTTTAATAGTTTATCATTTATACCACCACAATACTTATATATATATATATATATATATATACTATTTATACCACCACAATACTTATATATATATATATACTATTTATACCACCACAATACTTATATATATATATATATACTATTTATACCACCACAATACTTATATTCTACATAATATGATAAGTATTGTTTTATAGTTTAAGTATGTATATGATTATTAAATAACCCAATATAATCAAACTGGTACCCCCAGTCAAGTTTATCAAACATGACTCCCACTGGTAAAGACCCCTACGCGCAAGCGAATTATGTAAATAAAATTAAACCATATGTTAGTCCCGAAATGACCTAGTTTGTGTCGAGTGGACGTTAAACCCCATTTCTCTCTATCTCTCTATCAAACATGACTCTAGCCCGCAGTAGACTTTATCACCATCACCTACACCGTAATGTGATAATGATAGATCTTTGTTGTTGTTACGGTGGTAGATGATCTTCCCCTGTTTTACACAGTAGATACGATAAATACAACAAACACCACGATCTCTACCATACTTCCTTCTATACTCCTCCTTTATTTCAGATTCTAGTTCACTTACAGTTTTATCTCTACTAACACTTGTATCACTTATATCACCATACCTACTGTAAATACAGGTAAATATATATAATACCTACCTCTATAGATACAGGTAAATATATTATAAATAGTTAAAGAGAATATAGAATATAAAATATGTTGGACAACATCAAGGTGATTTACAATCTTCAATACACATAATGAAGGATCCAAGATTAGATTAGAAATGTTTTAATTTGTATAAAGATGAGATCTACTTACATCCGTTTTACAGTAAGAGTTATCATATCATCCTTTACTTTATTTATAGTTTTATCTACTTTCTTGACTCTTGTTTTATCTCCCACAACTTTAACTCTTGATTCAAGGAGTTGTATTTTGTCAGCTTGATTCTGTTTATCGGATTGAAATTGTAGATTATCCAACTTGAGTTGTTGTATCTCGTCAGCACGGTTCTGATTGTCCAACTTGAGTTGTTGTATCTCATTCTTCATTTTTTCAACATCTTCTTTGAGTTGGTTAGTCAGATTATTTTGTATGTTGTGTTCACCTATTTGTACATTACAAGGGAGGTGGAAATTAAGACTCTGGTGATTGACAATCTGTTGAAGTGACTGTAAACATTAAATATATTTTATTTAGCTTGTATATACACGGTCAGTCACCATAGTAGATGTCTACACAATAGCCTGTATATACACGGTCAGTCACCATAGTGGATGTCTACACAATAGCTTGTATATACACGGTCTACACAATAAGAGAAGGAACCTCTACGTACGACAGGAAGTAGATATAGGCCTTTTTATTAACTTTGGGGCCATTTTAATCACGAATAGTGTTTGATAAATTGGAAAGATTGCCACCAGTTAAAAGTAAAGAAACATCAGGATATACTCGATAAGTTAATCATCTAAAGTCATTTCTTTTTTCAAAAAAATCTCGACCAGCTGGGGAACAATGAAATGAAATTTAAGGTCTTATTGTTCTGCTCTGCCTTACTCTTCCGAATGGGGGGGGGGGGGGGCACAATGAATATGTATATGTCCATTCTTATATCGAGGGCATTCTTACATCAGCATATATCCTTTGCCGCAATATGATGATGTAATAATCATGAATGATAATGATGCCAAACAGAGCGGAGAAATAGAGAAATGGAATTAAACGTCCACTCGACACATACTAGGTCATTTCGAGACTAACATATTGTTTAATTTTATTTCAATAATTGGCTTGTGCGTATAGGTGTTTAGTAGTGGGAGGAACTTGAGAATCTGGATAAAACCCACGAGGTTGGACAGGTGCCACCCGAGAGGACCCTTGACGCTAGAAAGCACCATTTACTGTCGGTGTGGGGACGCAGTAATAAAGTTGGGTGTGGTGGATTGTTTCCAGGGTGAGTTGAGTGGTCTAACGCCTTTAGACCATAAGGTCTGTCATTGAGTAAAGGTCTGTGTTGCGGTTTTTCAATCATCAGTTTATACTTGACAATAAATTGAGTCACCTGCCTATTAACCTCGTGGGGTTTCTCTGGGTTTTATCCGGGTTGCTCCTGGTGATAAAGACCTTGATAAAGATTAATTTCTATATATTGTATGGAAACTATATAAATTGTTTTGAGTCAGACTTGTTCGTTTGTTTGTACGTGGGGGATTACGTCTGCTTAATACAGATGGTGGTGTAGCAGACGTCGAGTGGACGTATTTCCATTTTCAATAATTTCCATATATTTATAGGTCTTTTTGTCTCATCCGTAAACATTTTTTATAGCTGGATTGAGTCGTTTGTAAAAAGTGTCGGGTTTACTGTAGCAATAGTTCCACTACGATGTTTCCGTCTTGCCTCCAGTCACAGTAGGGGATGGTTCTAAGGACTTAATTTATGCCAGTTTTGTAAATCAGTTATGGGATAACCCCTGTACTTTCCTATCAATAATTGTAGCATCAGTCAACAACATATATCCCGCAATCTAGGCTTAGTGTAGATAAGAAACCTCATCCCTCCACCCTCCGTATATCTCAATGTTTTTAGCTACGTTCTCGTAGCTAGGCCAAGTGTATCCTTACAATCTGTTGAATTTCACAGACATATGTTAATTCTACTCACCATATCAGACATCATGATGTTGTTATAGTAGTAACAGATTTAATACACACAACTTTCTTCTACTCGGATCAACAGAAAGGGCCAGACAAGCGCGAAGGCAATATTTAATAAAATCTCCAACAGGGAAATCCCCGTCTATTTGCGGCTATGATCTAAGCGCTGTAGACAAGATTATACTGGTCTTGTGTTTACAAACTAATAACAGGACAGTCTAGTCTACTGTTACGTCAGCATATTATTAAATAATGGGAATACCCCAATATAAACCGGTTAGACCGGTCTATAACTAACACTACCTCATATTCACTGTGATGTGCAATAGAGATTATAATGTTTTGGGTGTACACATTCTGGTACTTAGGTATTCTATGCTAATCTTATAGAAAACTGTTTTTTATTTGTACCGTACGATCATTATATAGGTAAAGGTAAATAACTCCAATTAAAGACATCGGGATGCAGACAACTATTCTCAATTTCATTTTAATGTTAATTCTGGCATGCTTTCCCGACTGGGGGCCGGCTCCAACCTTTTCTCAAATATGGAACAATAATTGACCATGTCTTTAAATTGCTCCAAGGTTTGTATGTGGCTGCCACGTGAAAATTTGAAATACTCCAACCAGAAGTAGCCTACTATAAACATATCACCATAACCAACCTCTTAGTTCTGTCATCCTTCCGCCTTTAAACCATAAATATTTACCTGGCAGAAACCATCAATATTTACAAAGACCTGCAACATTGAGTTCCAGCAAACCGAGGATTTGTAATGTTCAGTTTGTCTGTTAGATGGATGACAAATATGTTATATTCTAACGAGTTAACGAATGGCTTGGGTTAGGTATTGTATGTCAAAATTATTTTGTAGAACATAAATTTAAAAAACTAAAAACAAAAAAAAACTAACCCTTTAGGGTTTGTCAACTTTAAAACTTTAACTTTTAAGACGATTTATCAAAACAATACTTGACTGAATTTGCGATATGACACACTTCCAACTCATGTAGGGGGGTTGGATGGCCGGATGGTTAGCACGTGCGCGCTGTATCATAAGGTCAGTCATTGAGTCAACTGGCGTGGCTTTGAATCCCCGGTTGTACGCGACAAGGAGTAGGGTCGCCTGTCCAGCCTCGTGGGTTTTCTACGGGTCCTCCGGTTTCCTCCCAGTGCTAAAGACCCATATGGGCAAACAAATATTTGAAATAAAATTAAACCATATGTGAGTCCCGAAATGGCCTAGTTTGCATCGAGTGGACGTATTATTTGTTGACAGTGTAAATGCGATCTAGATTTTAATATTTAATTTGGTTTATTGGAATAATACAGGATAGTCAAACGGTTAAACTAAATATTCCTGTCTTTGAGACAACATTTCCTGATCACATGTACTCTTCTTACCCTTGGAGCCAACATAGTCTTACAGACAACATTGACCCTTCTTACTCTTGGAGCCAACATAGTCTTACAGACAACATTGACCCTTCTTACTCTTGGAGCCAACATTCGACCCAGAATGTTATTACAGACAACGAATGAAGAGAACCTTGAATTGTATTGGAACTTTAAACTTGCATACATTTACTAATTTTATTTTTTGTGAGTTTCTCTATTGTCAATTGTCAAGGACTTCGTAAAAGGAGAGAGAGAGAGAGAGAGAGAGAGAGAGAGAGGGGGGGGGCATTCACTGGACACAGATACAAGTTTATTGATTGTCTGTCTAGGAGCTACCCAGGATAAAACGAAGTTAGACAAGCCAGATGTTTGATAAAATTTAGTCCAGTAAAATATAAAAACAACTAAAAAACAACAGATTTTAATCGATTTGAAAATAAAAAAAAAATAGGTTAACATGGCGAATCCATGTACGGACAAAAGCATTTAGGACATCTATCGTGCATTTTACTGAATTTTGAGAATTAATTATATAAAGTCAAATATTTTCTTTCTGCTTTTTTTTATTCCGTCATCACTTACATGGTGACGTCATACATACCCTCATGTTGTCTCCTACTCCCTCTTGCATACACATATAAACATTACAATATAATACGGTTCATGTATTCATTATGTTTGTCATAAAACACTACAATATAATACGGTTTCTCACAAAACACGTATAAGCACTACATGATATGATGATGATATTATATTCACAGTCTTTATAATAAATCTGTCATTTATACCACCACTAGGTCTATATCATATATACAGCCATAATTAGTACAATAATAATGATCAAGTTACATGTAAAAGGCTTTAAAGTTAGTATGTGTAATTCAATACTTTAATAGTTTATCATTTATACCACCACAATACTTATATATATATATATATATATATATATACTATTTATACCACCACAATACTTATATATATATATATATACTATTTATACCACCACAATACTTATATATATATACTATTTATACCACCACAATACTTATATATATATACTATTTATAGCACCACAATACTTATATTCTACATAATATGATAAGTATTGTTTTATAGCACCACAATACTTATATCTTACATAATATAATAATGTTGAATATTGTTTTATAGCACCACAATACTTATATCTTACATAATATAATAATGTTGAATATTGTTTTATAGCACCACAATACTTATATCTTACATAATATTATAATGTTGAATATTGTTTTATAGTACCACAATACTTATATCTTACATAATATTATAATGTTGAATATTGTTTTATAGTACCACAATACTTATATCTTACATAATATAATAATGTTTAATATTGTTTTATAGTACCACAATACTTATATCTTACATAATATTATAATGTTTAATATTGTTTATTATAGCATCACAATACTTATATCTTACATAATACAAATGTATAATAATGTTGAATATTGTTTTATAGTAAGTACTATATGATTATAATACTATTAACTCAATATTCTCAAACAATTGACTTTATCACCCTCACCTACACCATAATGTGATAATGGTAGATCTTTGTTGTTGGTATATTTGTAGATGTTCTTATGTTTTACACTGTAGATATGATAAATAGAACAAATATAACAAACACCACCATCTCCACCATACTTCCTTCTATACTCCTCTTGTATTATAGGTTCTAGTTCACTTATAGTTTTATCTCTACTAACACTTATAGCCATCTTACCTCTACCACCACTGTAAATACAGGTAAATATATATATTATAATACCTATCTCTATAGATACAGGTAAATATATTATAATTATAATTCTTGTATATCAAGTAGTTAAAGAGAATATAGAATATAAAATAAGTTGAACAACATCAATGTGATTTACAATCTTCAATACATATCATGAAGGATCCAAGTTTGATTTTATGTCAATTAAGACCAGGTCAGGTATCTACTTACATCCGCCTTACATTAAGAGTTATCATATCATCGTTTTGATTCTGTTTGTCTGATTGAAGTTGTTGTATCTCATTCTTCATCCTGTCAACATCTTCTTTGAGTTGGTTGGTCGGATGATTTTGTATGATGTTGTGTTCTCCTATTTGTAAATTACAAGGGAGGTTGAAATTAAGACTCTGGTGATTGACAATCTGTTGAAGTGACTGTAAACATAAAATATATTTTATTTAGCTTGTATACACACGGTCAGTCACCATAGTAGATGTCTACACATTAGCTTGTATATACACGGTCAGTCACCATAGTAGATGTCTACACAATATTTTATTTAGCTTGTATACACAGGGTCAGTCACCATAGTGAATGTCTACACAATAAGAGAAGGAGCCTCTACGTACGACAGGAAGTAGATATGGGCTTTTTATAACTTTGGGGCCGTTTTAATCACGAATAGTTTTTGATAAATTGGAAAGATTGCTACCAGTTAAAAGTAAAGAAACATAAAGATATACTCGATATACCATCTACAGTCATTTTTTTTTTCAAAAAAATCTCGACCAGCTGGGGAAGATTGAAATGGAATTCAAGGTCCTATTGTTCTGCTCTGCCTAACTCTTCCGATTGGGGGGGGGGGGGACAATGAATATGTATATGTCCATTCTTATATCGAGGGCATTCTTACATCAGCATATATCCTCGTGGATTGTTTGCAGGGTGAGTCTAGTGGTCTAATGCCCTAAGACCATAAGGTCTGTTATTGAGTAAAGGTCTGTTATTGAGCAATGTGTTGCGGTTTTAAATCTCCGGCTTGTACTTGACAAGAAATGGAGTCGCCTTTCTAACCTCGTGGGGTTTCTCTGGGTTTTATCCGGGTTGCTCCTGGTGATAAAGACCACGATAAAGATTAATTTCTATATATTATATTGAAACAATATAACTTGTATTGAGATTGGGTCAGACTTGTTCGGTTGTTCGTTCGCTGGGATACGTCTGCTTTTAATATAGATGGTGATGTAGAAGACGTCGAATGGACGTTATTTCCATTTTCAATAATTTCCATATATTTATAGGTCTTTTTGTGTCATGCGTAAGCATTTTTACAGCTGGATTGAGTCGTTTGTAAAGAGTGTCGGGTTTACTGTAGAAATAGTTCCACTACGATGTTTCCAACTTGCCCCCGGTCACAGTAGGGGATGGTTCTAAGGACGTAATTGATGCAAGTTTTGTAAAACAGTTACGGGATAACTCCTTCACTTTCCTATCAATAATTGTAGCATCGGACAAGATAGACCCCGCAATCTAGACATAGTTTATCTTTACAATCGGTTGAAAATTCACAGACATGTTAATTCTACTCACCGTATCAGACATCATGATGTTGTTATAGTAACAGATTCTTAAACACACAACTTTCTTCTACTCTGGTCAACAGAAATGGCGAGACAAAATGAAAGGAAATATTTAATAAAATCTCCAACAGGGAAATCTCCGTCTATTTGCGGCTATGATTTAAAGTGTCGTAGACGAGATTATACTTGTCTTGTGTTTTGTTGTTATAAATTAATAACATGATAGTCTAGTCTACTCTTACGTCTGCATATTATTAAATACTGGGAAATATCCACAGAGTAAAGTTTTACTCTGTGGAATACCCACAATATAAATGAAATGAAATGAGGTTTAACCATAGAGTTATATATAGAAACTAGAGTCCGCACTGATCACGTGACCCCCCATGACTACAACGTTAATAGTCTCTATCATCCAGAAAAATATTCTACGAATATTAGTCTGGACAGGTTGTCAACATTTGAGAAAAATTGGCTAGATAAGCCGGTCTTTCACATTATCATAAACAATGTCTAAGGGAGATAACTCCTTAAATTTAAGATGTTTACGCCCATGAAATTAATTTAAGAATGTCATTTCAAAAAATTCATTTGATTGCATGCGAGTCCAATATCTAACACTCTTACTTTTTTATTGTAAAATTTCTCTCTTCATTGAGCCATATCTATGCTTTTAAAATTAATCCTAATTCGTCGTCACGATTCATGTTTGTTTATATTAATGCAAGAATTATGGGATTTATTGTGGGAAGGGGCGCAACTCTTACTTGACTTGGCTAAAGAGACTGGATAATCAACCACATTAAAAACCAAACTCCCGGTTACGCATGGGCAATGGACTTTACGTCAAATATTGACAACCTTCCCAGACCCTCCGTATGTTGAAGACTAGGAGGTTGTGGGTGACCGAGACTACAACGTTAAAGGTTTGTGCCGGGATGGAGCGACGGCCGCCATGTTAGTTCCGGGGAGTATGAACCTAAATACCCGGATGTTCACTATGTTATCGCATCAATCAATCTATGTCAAACTGTTTCAGAACGTGCACAAATATTAAATTTTCTCACCCAAATTTTTATTGTTTAATAAAAATAATAATAAAGATCCATGGACCGACTTATCTCCGGCCTCCACTTTCCACAGTAAAGGTTATAGAACATTTTAATTTGACATGTCAGCGATTTCGACCGCAGTTTCTCTACGTCTACCTACTTGTACTTACCTTCGCTTTCTCTTTTAATTTTTATTAAAATATTGATCTTTTAAATTAGTGCAATGTACACAATAAGTATTCCTATACAGTAAATTTGTTAAATTGGTTTAGAAATTTATGGAACTAATTAATAAAGAGTGTAGAGAAATGAATGGGGTTTTTTTTTAACAATAAAAGTGAACAGAAATCAATAGCCGGCAGAATTATATGTACCGATATTTTTATTTATTTGTTAATTATTTTATTTTATGAAATTAGGGAATGAAAAGTGAAGAAAAATTAATAGCCTACGTAAAATGTTGTATTTCTATTTACCGGTATTTATTTATTTGTTAATTATTTTTAGAAATTTATGGAACTGAAAAGGGAACAGAAACTAAAAACAGCCCGCAGAAAATGTTGTATTTTTATTTATTTATTTATTTATTTGTTAATTTGTTTTAGAAAATTATGGAATGAAAAGTGATACTTGCGCACTAAACTTATTAAAACCTTTAAAAAGTTTTATGGCCGTCATATTGATTTGATTGGTAAATATAACGTGTCTCTCTCGGCTATTATTCTAGACATATTTAATTGACACGTATACTATTACTATCTCCCTGATAATATCTACTACATCGTTAACACAGTTCATCGCGTGCATTTTGCATACCGATAGTTCATTGGCCAATCACGCTATTTTACCGACATTTCGCCTAATAGTTTGGATGCAGCTATGGCGGGTGTGGCGTCAGGCAGGGTAAGCTTACTCTTCCGGACACCTGTTACCACTGTTTGTCGTGTAATTTGTACACGAGGAGCAGTCCATTTGCTGATTACACTATTTTGCTTGAATACACTATTTTCGTACTTGGTTTTATTTTATGTCATTGTCAGCGATCTCGTGTTCTGCAGAATAGGCCAGATATCTTATTAACAAGCTGGCCAAAATGGTCGTCTTCAGCGAAATCGGTCTCCATAAAGTGATCATTAAAATCGAGAAAAAATTTCCCTCTGACTGTTGTTAATATTTCTGCTTGAATCTGTCTTATGATGTTGTTGTTATTTGCCAAAGGATCAGTTGACTCAAGTAAACTTCCCCTAAAACGGTTTATTTATTGATTTATCTATTTATTTATTGATTAAGAGACTGGATTAAAACCGAAAATGTTATTTATTTATTCATTTTGGAAAATTATGGAAGTGAGGAGAAATTAATGGCCTGTACACCTGTAGAGAAATGAATAGTTTTAGAACAACAACAACAATAAAGGAAATATTATGTTTCCAGAATGAAAAAAACATTTAAGAAATGAAATGGGGTTTAACGTCCTACTGTTCTGCACCAACCGGGATAATGAAGACAGGCATACACCATGTAGTGCGCTCTGAGGGAAATTTTGCCCGAACAGCGGCGGTACGGCCTACTCTTTATATCGATTTCCACCTGTTAAAGGTTCTTTTACGTGCACGCCGATTTTTTGTCACATCCGAACGACTAGACAATGTACCTTGTCAGACACTCCGTCTGCACCACTGACAAGGGAAGCTCCGTTGGAATATCCCGAGGTACTTTCTCGGGATCGAACACCGGATCCCTTTATTCTGTCACTGAGAAATCGCGGCTCCCTAACTTACAAGTACATTGAAGACTGCCCGACCATAGAGTATGAAAAAAAAAACAGCAATAAAATGAAAATTAAAAATATTATCAACAATTGTAATTTGTACCTAATAATCCTATCTGCTGTTACGAAATTGTCTTGTCTAATGGTTAACAGCCATCTGTTCAGAAGCTTCTCGTTTTTTAGTGGAAATCTGTAATTTAAGAAAATAATATTTTAACCCTGTGGGTGCTTGCATTAATATTTATTTACTGCAGAGGAGAGGTGGAGGGACAGTGAATGGTGGACGTCCACTCGACACAAACTAGGTCATTTCGGGACTAACATATGGCATATGGTTTAATTTTTTTATTTCAATAATTCGCTTGCGCGTAGGGGTCTTTAGCAGTGGGAGGAAACCGGGGGAGCTGGAGAAAACCCACGAGGTTGGACAGGCGACCCTACTCCTTGTCACGTACAACCGGAGAATCGAAACCCCGCCAGTTGACTCAATGACACACAGGCCTACGAGTTAGAAGATATGGTGCCTAGTTGTGTGAGGTTTTGTAATGAATGTGTTTGTTTTCGGGGAGCATTGCAGAGACAGCGTCTCGTTCGGATGGGACGAAAAACCGAGGTCCCGGCCTAGGCCTACACATTGGCGTGCACGTAAAGAACCCTTGTCAGTTGGAATTCAATTGCTGTCCGGGCAAAATTTCCCTTAGAGCACACTGTATGGCGTATGACCCTCTTCATTATCCCGCTAGGACGTTTAACCCCATTTCATTCTTCATTGACATTAGGCTAATTTGTTTGTTTTCGCTTGTTCAGCTGAACTTGTTTGTGTTTAGAAAAATATTATGACATGAAAATTTATTATATATCTTAAGTTTCGTATAAAGATTTAGTAGTAAAAAAGGGTTTCTTTTATTTTAAAATGACTTTTAGATTAGGTCTTCACATCATTGTTATTGAGTAGGCCTATTGACGTTTACATTGGACTGAGCTCGACTCTTACCCAGTGCTAGAACTAGAGAAGAATGGACCGATTTTTGATAGGTACAGTTGATAAATCAATCTAACCTATGAAACGCTATTCCACTACCCTTTTTTCGGGTGTTTGAGCAGCCAAAACAGTAGCAACTTTCTGGCATATTGATTATAAAACACGATTTAAAAGATCTAATGGTCGTCAGCGTCAACTCCCCGGAACTAACATGCGGACAAGGGCCCATGTCGGCACACTGTCACGTGATCAGTGCGGACTCTAGTTTCTATATATATAGCTCTATGGGTTTAACGTACTGTTCTGCTCCTATGCTGCGCTGGGCTAATGCAGACGGATATACGCCATACAGTGTGCTATGAGGGAAATTTTGCCCGGGCAGCGGCACTATCGCCTAGTCAGTCTACTCTTATATCGAATTCCAACAGCCAAGGGATCTTTTACGTGCATTAACTAATGTATACACGGGATCTCGGTTTTTCGTTTCATCCGAAGGACTAGACAGCTGTCCTTGTCCCGACCTCCAGGCTAGCGAGCCAGCGTCTTACCCACTTAGCCACGTGATCCCCCCCCCCTACCCCCCACAATATAAACCGCAGTCTATAACAAAATATCTTTTCGCCAAAATGCTCAATCCTACTCCATGTTCACTGTGGTGTGTAATACTAATAAAGTTTTGGTCTGACACATTCCGGCATTCCGGTACACTGCTATTGATACAGTTAAAGGTAGACAACTCCAATTAAAGACAACTGGAAGCAGACCACCATTACTTTCCCAGGTTCTCCGTCCTGCATCACTGACAAGGGGGAACCACGCCAGAAAATCTGGATGAACTTTCTCGGCTAATGCAGGGAGCGAACACCCGACCTCCAGGCTAGCGAGCCAGCGTCTTACCCACTTATCCACGTGATCCCCCTACCCCCACAATATAAACCGCAGTCTATAACAAAATATCTTTTCACCAAAATGTCATTACAAGCAAACTCAACCCTACTCCATGTTCACTGTGGTGTGTAATACTAATAAAGTTTTGGTCTGACACAATTCCGGCATTGCGGCACACTGCTATTGATACAGTTAAAGGTAGACAACTCCAATTAAAGACAACTGGAAGCAGACCACCATTACTTTCCTAGGTTGTGGGGTGGGGTATTTAGGATGATTCTACCATTTCACTATTTTAAACTAATGAATATATATTTGCCTATAACCCCCGACGGTCCTTGTATCTACAATCCAGACCCTTGACTTGATTAACATGGGTGAAGTGGTTGAATAGTAGAAATCGTTCCACTACTGATGTCTTCCGCCACTCCAGCCACAGTAGTGGCTCGTCCTATGGAGTTCCTTTGCGCAACTGTTTTAGTCAAATGACTACAAAAAGTTTGCTTGTCTCTAGCCCCCTTAATTTACACA